AGAATACAGTGAATAATACAGAAACAGTGAGAGGTGAGAAGCTAGCCTATATCAGGTCTTGTGTAGAGTAATACTCATAGGGTCATTAACTTTATTAATACAAATCATCAGATACTGTGATATACAGGACTGTGCAAAAGTCAGAGACTTCATTTATTTATTTTCCAGTCAAAACAGCCTTTAGTGACTTAATAATTATTCAACAATTAGTGTCAGAAAAAAAATACAAATCATATATTTAACAGAGAATTACACAGAAGCCTCAGCAACTAAATATAATGTCATATTTTTCAGTTTTTAATGTGTCCGATCTTAATCTTTATTACAGCTTCCATTCTTTTCAGGAGGCTTTCAGTTTTTCAAAGAAAAATCTGCTGGGATATTTTTCCACACCTCTAAAGTTCAGTCTTAGATGTAATCCCAAATCACAATGCAAGTAATCCCAAGCACATTCAAGGATTTTGAGGTCTGGCCTATTGCTCTTTTTCTTTATTTCCTTTTCTCAGTAACATCTTCTTGAAAGCTACACATCCTCTACACATCCTTTAGCGCTGAGCTGTTCTCTCACAGTGGAACGATGGACAGAAACACCCATGAATTTTCTTTACATATATGATTTTTATATATAATTTATATATATGACATAATGTGAGAACAGAAGCCTTGTTTTGACCTATTGGCTGACCTTCTATGAAGTATCACGGATTACACTTCATATATGCAGAACTGTTATGTGCTTTTGTACAATTCCACTTTACTGTAAAGGGAGTCTGAGTAATTCTTAAAGTAAACTGAAACTGCTGTCGACCTTCTTTGTACTGCTACTGTTTCCGTCGTCCCTGAAGCGTAACTCATAGAGAAACACTACATGCTGTTCTCCGCTCTCTTTCCTCAAAGCCAGGAAGTCTTACAGACATTTTTTTTCAATGAAGGGCTGCGTTTAACATGACTGGGAGCCTAAAGAGCAGGAATTCATTATTTATTAACATGAATGCAACTTAAACCTGAGACCACCAGGTCCAAAGAAAGCCTCACATCTGAGGCCGTGATATTCAGCAAATGCTTTGAACTTGGCAGGCTATCAAATGTGCGTATCAGAGTAATGTTTGCATTGTGCACAGTGTGGCACTACATGCTCATGAGGTTTGAGCATAAACACACTCCCAGTGGCTCTGTAGAGGCCTTTCAGACCTCCATCCAGTGTAAATGACTGAATGGAAAGAGAATGGAAACCAAGACCTGTTTCTTTTAATTTATATATTTATCTGTGGGTGTCTTTGAACACATGCAACAAAGAAAGAGGTTATAAATAGGGGAGGGTGGAGAAGGTTGTAAGACTTAAGTTTCACCAGTCCAAAATAAGCTACATGGGTGACATCATTACTGTCAATACACACCATGCTGCTGAGCTGACCGGAGACATTTAAAGACTTTGTGTGAAACAGTGACATGCTTATGAAACAAAAATTTAATTTTGAGGTAGAATTTAGGTACAATTTCATGTCTGGACTATAGCTTGGTCAGCACTTGTATTAATAGAGGTTAACTGTACTAATTGGTATTGTCTTAATCAGCAGTTAAACTTAATCTAGTTTAATTTGATGTAAGCAAGTTTCCAACATATTGAGCTGTATAAAAGCACATTGTTAAAAATCTTTTCAGTAGGTGTTTTTGCATGTAAAAACACCATGTAACATTAGAATGAATGCAAATAAACGAATACTGTAAAAAGTAATACTAGAGGCGGGGGGGTGTCTCCATACAAATGGGTGTGCGGAGAGGCTCTTGGGAGGCACCACGCTTCCAGAAAGAACTGGTAAATATGTGCTGTTGCGATGTTGTTTAAGTTGTTGATGGTAGTTGGGATGTGTCCATGTGATACATGTGCTGTTCTGTGCTGGGCTAAGAGGTTGTTGGTGTGGGTAGAGTGTCTGCCATGAAGCATTACTATATTCCTAGAAGTGAACGTGTTATTTTCAAAAAAGTAGTTGATGTTTTGTGTGTTTAAAGAACAAATTTTTGGTTCAGTTCCATTAGCAGCATATTTGATTTAACATATTAGAAGTATTAATTAGCCAAACCAAGAACTGGAAGATAACTACAAATAATACTGGGCTTCCTGAAGGAGAGGTCTGGAAAGGGTTGAATGGACATGTTAGCGATGTAAAATCAGCTACTTGTTGTACTCTTATTTGTATTTATTCTATTATTAATGTTTTTCTAAGTAAATAAGTGTTTACTGACCACAAAAATCACTTTGTAATTCTAAGTTTCTTGAATGCCTAAAACTGTTGCACAATATATACATGCTTAAAAAAAATCTGCCAGTTTCAGGACTGACCAGGACAGTGAAGGTTATAACACACAATGTAACATAGAGGCACTGACCAAAGAACAATACTCATATATTCCTGTGAACCCTGTCAAACTTTAACTGTCAAGAAAGATTTGACTTTTTACCACATTATATGCTGCTGCCTTCTTTCTTGAACTAACACAAACATACACAGTATGAAGCTCCTAGTCTATATTTTGGTATAGACTTACAGCTTCCGTATCAGTGTTTTTCCTGTTTGTCTCTTGCTTTGAATTTTAAGAAAAATATAGAGAAAGTAATTAAAGTGTCCTTTACAAAAAATCTTCACCTACTGTTACAATCTACCCTAGTAGTGGGGCAGGTTGTAACAACAGAACTCTGTTTTTGACACAGTCTTGCTCATTTAATAAGTATGCAGTAGATTTCTACACTATTTATTTGTAGCAGACAAATATGAGTATCCTATATCAAAGTTTGGAAGGTACAGCACAATCAACCATCAAATTATAGAGGCTAAGTCTCACCTACTTGCACATGAAAGTAAGCTTTTTGTTTGTGCTTTCACTGCATATCTTTTTTTTCTTATTAGAAGACCCTTCAGTCAATGGCAAAGGTATCCATTAAATCTTTCATTAAGAAGATGGAAAACTGAAAACGGCACTAAAATATGGTTTCAGGCATGACTTCACTCCACAGATTTATCACTCAAGGTTATTCGGAAATGGGAAGGTTAACATTCCATTCATATACCACAACAAAGTCTAACGGAGCATGACTGCAGAGCAGAAGTGGTAATGCGGTTCTCTCTGATTTAGTCATCCCTGCCGCTTCACGATGACCAGAGATGAGAGAGATAGGCTGTATGCTTCTAAAAGTTGACAGTGCTGGAGTTGAGAACTAAACTATGCCAAACGAACCCATTAACCTATAGCCAGCACTGCTGAGTTGCTAGAACAACGAAACCACCTCCTCAGGGGATCCCACAGGCATCAGGTTTAGAACACAGCACCAAATGCTCAGCCTCGGCACACTGAGGACTTTCACTAGCCAGGTCAGATGCTACCATCTTAGAAAAACAACAAAAGGCTTTATTTTTCTTGCTGAGACGGATTTACATTGCTTGAAGTCAAAGAGGGTGCCAAGAACACGTCGTTTTATGGCATTAGACAGCTTTGCCCTTTTGCCTTCTGGTAAAACCTCAAGCAGGAACTGCTGCAACTGGTTAGCTGGTGTTTGGTGCTGCAACAATAGAGCACTTTGAACATCACTACCACAACAAAACCTCGCCTTCTAGAAGGCTCTAAGGTGTTCTAAAATGCTCTTGGTTAGTAACCTCAGAGGTAATTTGAGGTTCACCTGTCACACTTGTGTCAATGCCAGCTGTTTACCAACAGCAGCAAAAACAGCTTTTGATTACCAGCATAATGTTGGCTCTTGTAGTTTGACAGCTTAGTGCTATTGGTTTGGAGGCAGTAGTCATTTTATATTGACTGGAAACTCAAAGCTAACTGCCAACACACATTAATAATAATAATAAATTTTTACCTATATAGCTTTTTTTATTTCAGTTACAAAATCTCAGTTACAAAAGTGATTTACACAGTGTATAAGTAAAACACTGAGTGGGAAAACACAATGGACTAAATGAAATAGCAGCACAGTTACAAAAAACAGGCGAAAATGAGCCACAGTACTTGTGTATGCTGCCATAAGCAAATCTGTTTTAATCTGGGTTTAAAAACTGCTTGCATTTCTAATATTCTCTGCAATGCTGCTCCAGAGTTTAGGAGCTATATAAGAAAATGATCTTCCACCAACTGAGCTGTAAGTGGTCCTAGGCCTTCCTCAGCTGGTCTGGATGGGCTATAATGCTTCAGCGGATCAGTAAGATATGCTGGAGCTCGGCCAAAGCTTTAAATGTCATAAGAAGACCTTGTAGTCAATGTTCACAGGAAGCCAGAGTAAACTGAAAAAGACCAGAGTAACACCCAAAGTTTCTTCTTGCGTAAGCACACAGGCTTTCACATTCTGAACAAGCTGGAACCTATTGAGAGATACTGCAGAGCAATCAGCCAGTGACATGTCACAGTAGTCCGATCTAGCAGTTTTCCTTATTAGCTCCCTGAATTCATTACTCAGATGAGTCAGCCACGTGTTTATTTTCCCACATCCGATTTCTCATGTATTCAGTGTACTGAGCTACACATTGCATATCATTGCTGTTGGAAGAAAACCTCATATCTCAAAAATGGTAATTTTACAGGAGAAGGAAAAAACCTACTTTACTTTTAATGTAAGTCAATGGAACCAGACTTTTTTTCAAGTCATTTTAGGTCATTTCTTTTAGTCCATTCATCATGAAATTTAAATACAATGTAAAGGGTAACAGGCATTTTCAAATTACATCAAAAACTGAAAAACATCATAAATGGAGATACAAGGTTTTCTTTTGACTACAGCATTATTCAATTAATAATCTATTGTAATTTTAGAGCTGCCAACAGTGTGCTACCATTTTCCCATTTATGTCTGTGTACTGTGACCTAAAACAGTTGCACTTTGTTTTGACACTGTTCAGTAGCATTTAGCTTGTGTGAAATATGATAACTTCATGAATTTTAAATTGAAAACATGACATCCATTTAATAAGAATGCTCACGTACAATGCCTCTGTTTGTTTCAGCATACACACAAATCCAGACCCACCAGCTACTCCAGCAACACAAGCAGCAGTTTGTGATCCAGCAACAGTCCCAGTTGTCTCAGAGAAGCCAAGCCCAGCTCTTACAGCCAGGCTCCATCCAGCCCTGCCTTCAGCCCCAAGCCCAAACCGTGCAGACCGTGGCCATACAGCCCGCCCTGGCAGGCCAGCACTGTGCAATCTCTGTGCTGCCCAAAGCACCAGCTCCCTGCCAGCAGGCCACTGTCTTCCACTCCACTGTGACTCCTCAGGTGCTGGCCCACAACGGGCAGCCTCCCTTGCTGAACTCCGTCAAAGCCAAACAGGTGCAGATAGCAACCGTCAGTCTCCAGTTTCAGCCGCCACCAGCCCAAGTAAGCGAAGATAAAACATATGTTGTTGCTGTCATGTCAAAATCTCATAACTCTTACATCAGCTGTTCTTCAAATTGGGTGTAGCTTCCTATAGAATGGACTAGTAAGAGTAGTTGATTCTTGCTAAGATTGCTTTACATTAATGCACACTAAAACTGAAAAATCTGCATAATTAATCACAGAGATATAAACAAAGTCATTCAAAGTGGTTTGATGTGAAATGGTTCACTGTAGAGAAACTTACTGACTCAGATTTCTTTACAGTGATGGTGATAGGAACCAGGGGTCGTGATGTCTACTGTGCAAATATAGCCTTTAGTTTACTTTACAAAAAACCAGTGAACCTAATGAGTTTTCATATGTAATGTTAATAATGGTAAAATAGTTGCAAATCTGAAACAATAGGTTTTCTTTGGGGTGCCTCAAAACACCCCACCTGTACCTCTCCACCATGAATGGTCCTCCTCTTTGATCTTGTCCTTTTCTGATGCCGATTTTCAGACTGCTACGGCTGCGCAGGATGATGCTGAGGATAAGAATCCTCTTCCAGCAGCCACAGAAGACTGCCCTGTCCAAGGTGAACAACAGCTTCTGTCCTTACCCACACAAGAGCCAGCCAGGACAGAACAATGCCAATCTGACCACAGTCAGACAGAGCACTCAGAAGGTACCACCATTTTCTCAGTTACTGCTTAGTTTCATCTTTGTGAGTTAGACTGCTTGCAACTTTGTCTGAACATGATTAGTAGAGATTATTTACTGACAAGGAAGTGATGCTTAAAAGATTCCCTATATGAACAGACAATGTAGTTCAAAAATACAATAATTTCATCACGTTTTTATGATAAACATGGACCATTTTTTAAAGGCCTTAATTTCGATTAAAGCACAATTCCAGCCTAAACACCAGGCCCAAACTTCTGTCCGACTGCCAAGCTTAGTCTAAATGGCCAGGAGCACAGTGGCCACTGTGTCACTGCCATCTGTAGGCTTGCCAGCCGAAACACAAAGGCTATCCCCACTTTATCTCTCCCCTCAAGCGGAAGAGTAGATCTGTCACGCCCCAGTGTCTATTGTCCGGTCCAGGCACTTGCTAGAATGTGACAGCTTTTGCCATAATTAGAGGCGAGGGGCGCAGCTTTGTTATTCCCAGTGGGCTAGAGGAATAAAGGTGGACACACTCTAGCTGTCTGGCAGGTGTGGCTGAGGCCTATCCACTCAGACATTCAATTATGAATGATGATCAATTACTCTTTTATGAAAGCAATGGGTACTAAATGCATTTTTAGGGCACAGTCTGGAGAGGTTTTGTTGTGAGCTCAATTAAACCATTGAAACCATAAATCATGTCAAGCTGGCCTGAAATGCATGGGTCAGAGCAGCTAACTCTTTGTGAGGGATTGATATATGCCTTTATAATATTGCTTTGTTTTTGTCACTTAAAGCCTGTTCCTTTTTGCCTTTGCTTCTCTGTATGTATGGATGTATGATAAATCTTATTTTTGTATTCTTGGCAGCACGTCAGAAAGAAAACATGCTGGATATTTCCATAAGCAAGGCTGCTATGGCTACATAGTGAAACAAAGGATTTAAGTCTAAGGGGGTCAAGTTCAGGTTTCGAGCAGATAAAGAATAAATTAACAAGCTGGTTGTTGGAAAAATATAAATACAAATATAATTCTCAGAATATGGCTTTATCATTACTAAAGCTTAAATTTGAAAGATGACATAAAAACTCTTGTGCACCTTGCATACTAAACAGAAAGTGTATTCCATAAGATGCCAAATTAAGACCAATTAAGCCAAATTAATACAATAATGATTAAATGTAAAGATCCAGGGTTACCGAAGGTAAAGCAGCATCACATAAAGGTGACTTTATCTGACTGAACTCAAGCTATGCTGTTTCGACTCCCACCTGCTAAGTGTGGGATTGAGTAGCCTTTCATATCTCCTGCTGGATAGAGTTTCCTTACATATACTGTGTCACTCTTGCTTTCTCTTTGTCTCTTTGTGGAACCCAAGACCCCCTTTATCAAAACATTTGCTTCTGGCCTATTCTTAGAGTGGATAATAGATGATCTGATAACCTTTTTCAGTCAATATTGTGTACAGTTAAAGAGAGCAGTGTTTATAGTTGACTGATACAGTAGATCTGTAGTTTGGCCAATGAACTTGGGTTAAAATCTAATTTACATTATTACATTCTTACCCCAAATATAGTCGATCAGCCGAGGCATGTTGGGTGCCTGAAGATTGTTTCTTTAGTTTGTCACTTGGCTACATGGCAAAAAGATTTTGGGGAGTAATAGACTTCTGTTACTTTTTAGCTGCATTTGCCTGGGAGCTCTGGTGCAAAACTTGGCAGTTCGACTGTAGTCAATGTCAGGCTTTAAGAGTTATGATTTAGACTACAGGGGAATTCCACTGATTTTTCAAAAATTCTGTACAATTAAATCATTTAGATGTAAACAAAGTCACTTAAAGTGGTTTGATATTAATGCCCCATGCTAAAGAAACTTACTGAGTCAGAATTGTTTACAGTGGTGGTGATAGGAACCAGACATCTGAGATTTTTAACACCTTTAAAAGACATTTTTAAATTTATTAAAAATGGCTGAGAATGCTCTGCTTGGTGCCTAAATTAAGATATAGTTTTAAATAAGATAAAGTCATTCATAGTGGAGGAGCACACACAGGATGTTATAAGGCAAAATAGTCCCCAAAAGAAAAATATTGCATATAAAAACTCAGAAGACATGTAGGTTCACTAAGGTTTTTGGATAATAAATAAAAAGGCTTTATTTGCGTTGTAGACATTGCGACCCTTGGTTCCTATCTCCATCACTGAGAAATCTAAGTTGGCAAGTTTCTCTATAATGAGTCATTTCGCTTTAAACCTCTCTGCATTGTTTGCACCTCAATGACTGAATTATACAGACATTTTGAAAAATCAATGCAACTCTCCTTTAAGGTTTGATTACTCTGCTGTGTTTGCAGACTTTTCTGTTGCCATAACAGTTGACTTGTCATCGCCAAATGGCTACGGATTATTTACTTTTGCTGCACAAACTGAAGTCATATAAATTCACAGCGAGATACAGCATTCAGAGTGACTCCACTGTTAACCGAGGCTTACAGGTCCAAGGGTTGAATTGGGGACAGGGATTTAACAGGCTTTGGTTAAAGCAGTTGTGAGTTAGCAATCACGTGGCTACAGATTATTCGCTTTTGATCATTTCCAGAATATTTGAGGGTTTTAATCTGGGAGCATAAACTGAAGTCAAACATTACATCTTCCAACTCGAGCACAATTCGCCTGATCTCTAACCAGACAGACGCCTTTTTAATGTGTGCGTGTGCTTTTCTCCCCCTTGGCTCTGCGTGTTTTTGTCATGGAGCCGCTGAAGTCGCTTCGACCAATCACAGAAGAGCTCGGCTGTAAACCTGCGTTTCCATTGGATGGAATTCCAAGTGCGGGGACGCTCGCGACTGCGCGCTGTTTCCTTTTCAGTTCCCCCGTACAAAGAGGATTAACGGAGCGCGCGCGCGCCTCACGCTGTCGCTCGCACGTACCGCTCCGCTCCGCTTTCCGCCGAACCCGAATCTCCCTGAAAGTTTTCTCTTCGGCTCGGGCTGCTTCGCGTGCCAGGCGAACACAGGAGCTCCGTGGACCGGTACGGAGTTCCGGGATACTTTTCGGGGTTTTCGTGTAGCTCTGTCCGCTCCGCCTGAGCGTGTTTTGGCGCTGGAAAGTGCGAGGAAGGACCCCGAGCTGAGCGGAGGAGTCGCCGAGCGGAACAAAGGCGTGTGCTTCTTCTTCTTCTGCCCGCTGCCGACTATTGTGAGGTCCCCGCGGTACGTGAGTGAGCCTTCGGATAAAACTTCGGTCAAACGGATAAAGTTACGAACTTCTTTTCGCCCCCCAGCTTGACGGGAAACGAGGAGGCGAGACGGTAGCTAAGTTAGCTAACGGCGAGCGGCTCGTTTCGTAGATATATTAGCCTTGTTTACAGTCGAGGCGCGAGCGCTCTCGGCGTAAACACATTAAAACGAGGAAGCGCTGCTGCGACTGAGACTGCTGAACTTGCGGATACTTCGCTGTTAAAAAAATAAAACATAAGGGTACTTTTTTATATCTCTGTAGTAGCTTAACTTTAATCTCAGCGGTTATAACTGGTCGATATAATAGACCTAGGTTAGTTAGGCACATTGTTGTGGATGTGAGGACTCGAAGTTGCTCTGAGGAACTAACGCTGGATCGAGTGAGTGTGGCTGGGCTAACATCTCAGTCTGCAGATGTATTTGGGATGAATGTGATGGCAATTCTGTAAAAAAAATAGTCCACATTTCATTCTAGATCAGATTTGTGTGATGCGGATATCTTAGAGCTGGACGATAACTTACTTCAGCAACCAGACATGGTCACTTCAGCTTTCACTGGGCTAGTCTGTTGGGAAAAGCCTTTTTATATCTGAGCCGTGGAGAAATGTCCCCGCTGATGGATGCTGTCCCCTCCACAGGCCCAGCTGCTGCACGGTGTGTGAATGCTAAACCAGGTGTGGGCTTCCCTCCAGCCATGACCTCGGGCAATGGGAACAGTGCGCCCACTGTGACCGGCAGTACTCCTCAAAATGGCGAGAGCAAAACACCCCAAGCAATTGTTAAGCCCCAGATACTCACTCATGTCATTGAGGGATTCGTTATCCAGGAGGGAGCAGAGCCTTTCCCTGTGAGTGCCTCTCTTTTCTGTCTTCATAGCACAGTCCACTCACACATCCTTAGTAAGTTCAGATTCTGTGTCTGCTGCGGTTATATTGGGTACTGGGATTGAGACTGACATGATGCTGATAGGGTTTGTTTAGTATTGAGACTAAAATCTGCAGGTCTGTGCATGTTTGTGTTGTGTCTGGGGTTGGTGTAGGGTCAGTCGAGTCCTATTTTTAGCCAAAGCTTTTTATCTATAGAAACACACTTCCCTCTAGTGGACAGTTAAAATTTGTACTGCTAAATCTTTAATGGAAGTTTCAACAGAAGTGTAACTTGTGAGAATACATAAAAGGCTCTAATATAGCAGTTTAACTCAGTGAGTGGGCATTTACAGTCTTCTGTATAACATCTCTTGACTCATTCTAGGTGGAACGACCATCATTGTTGATTGAGAACCTTAAGAAGCAGAAACAGCAGCAGTTCTACTCAGACCTGGAGAAAAAGGCTCATGACTCTCACACAGCAGACTCTGAGATGGAAGATCTATCACAGCAAGGTGTGTAGAGGCATATATGACTGGATATCGAACCACTTGATTATTCTAAATAAATGTGACTTTCAAAGGTTGGCTGAGAATGCCATGGTTAAGCTCAAGCAAAAACAGTTTTTCTCTTTTATTGTTAAAAACTCTTACTTGAACTTCCCCCTACAGAGTTAAAGAACCAGGAGGAGGAGCCGACACTCTCCTGCGAACTGTGTGGGAAAGTAGACTTTGCTTACAACTTCAAAAGATCAAAGCGGTTTTGTTCTACAGTATGTGCAAAGAGGTATTATATAAGAAGTATAGTTCTTTGTAAAACACGATAACCAGATGCCATTCAGGTGTTTTGAGTATTTGCTATTGGTCGTTAACTCATGCAAGTATTTCGTTTAAAGGTATAATGTGGGATGCACAAAGCGGATAGGTCTTTTTCCAAGACGGCCCACTCCTGAGAACCCCAAGAAACAAAAAGCCTCCAATAACAGTCAGCACAGTACTAGCTCAGAGGCCAAAAAACAAGTAAGGTGTAGCAAGCACATTGACTTTCCTCAGTACAGTTTTCCCCTTCCTGATTTTGATCCCACTTTGTCCCTTCTGTCTTCCAGAATCACAGCACTCACACAGGCACAATGGGGTCAGTGTCATCCACACGCCTCTCCCACCTGAGTCATGGAGAATCCACCCAGTGCTCAGACATGTCCAGTTATGAAGAGCCTCCCTCGCCCCTGTCTGTGGCCAGCTCTGGAGCCCAGAGGCTACTACGCAGGGAGAGGGGGTCAGAGCATGGAGAGAGCCACAACAGGGAGCTGCCTCTTCTCACGCAGCACTTCCTGCCCAGTGACCCTGCCAAATGGAACGTGGAGGATGTGTATGAGTTTATCTGCTCTCTGCCAGGTAGGCTTTGGCACTGCTGAGACTTCAGCGCTGCGTACTGTCACTTTGGAGTCGTATGATGTTTCAGTAGAGTTTGCTTTGTCTAAGATTTGCTTTGTCACAGAAAAAGAACATAAAAGGACTGAATGATATTTGGGAAAAGTTACATTGAAATATTTTAAATTTGAGAAATGTTGCAATATTTGAAAAATAAAAAAGGAGTCAAATTTATCCAAGTAATCTATTCCTAAATGGAGTCGGTTATCAATCTAACAATGGAAAATGAACATCTTAAAGGCAGCAATAGGGCTGCTTGAAATGGACCAAATACAAAAATACTGCTACAATGATAATGCAGTATACCTTTGAGTGAACTGTGTTGTGATGTGTTAAGACTTGCCTGCGTTATTTGTTTGTTGGATCTTGTTTTGCCTTGATTCACCCAAAAACCTTGTTAGTCAGGATGCTCACAGCAGGCACTAAAACGAGTAGTGATTGGTTAGAGCAGGGATGTCTGATCTTATCCATAAAATGGCCAGTCTGGCTACACGTTTTCATTCCAGTCAGGCAGGAGCACACCTGATTCCACTTGCTCCATACTGTGGATCATTACTGATCCTCAAAGCTATATGTAACATAATGGTCTGTGAAGTTTTTAACCCAGAACCTCTCTTTCTGCCCTTAGGCTGCCAGGAAATAGCTGAAGAGTTCCGTGCTCAGGAGATCGATGGCCAGGCTTTGCTGCTACTGAAAGAAGACCATCTCATGAGCACCATGAACATCAAACTTGGGCCTGCACTGAAAATCTTTGCCCGCATCAGTATGCTCAAAGACTCATAGCTTCTCCCATGGGCTGTAGCACATCACCTGGAAAGGACTGGAAATACCCAAACTGCACTGATTTCACTTCATATCCCATAAAGGCTATGAATCCAGAGGATCCAGGGCTGCTTCTCAAATAATCCAAGAGATTTGGCTTGTATTCTTCTCACAGGCATGTGGATGGAAATATCCTTTGGCCTGGTTAGCCTTGCCATGGCTCTATGGATGAACAGTCAGCTTGAAATTGCTTGGATAAAATACAAGCACAAGTAGCTAGACAACTAAATTATGGCCACAAATGGTTCTAATCTTCACACCAGGAAGATTTAATAAGATGCGTAGTTGCAACAGGTTTACAATTCCTTTTGTTTTGGAACTGGAATTATTTTGCATTTCACTGATTTTTGTTTCAGTGTCAAGATTTGTAGTTCAGGTGTTCATCTCAGTGAATTAAGTTCTTTTTTATGAAAAAGGAACTTTAGCCTTGCATAAAATGTGCCCAACTTGTCTATTATGTGGTAGTAAACAATGAACAAGATATTTTGATGCATGCATCTGCAACTGCTTTTGTTCATTGCTTAGATACTGTCCTCTTAACGCCAGCCTGATTTATTAAATACACAAAGGATGGTGTGCATCTGAAAAGTAATTACATTGTCAATGTGCCTAACATTCCCGTCTATCCCAAAGATCAGCCAGAATTCCCATAACTCATTTCCGTTCAGTACCGTGGAGGAATGTTTCAGAATTCAAAAGGTAACTTTTTTTTTTTTTTACTCAAACCTACCAGAGTATTAGAACATACACCGTTCAAAACGAGGTCAGAAAAGTCTTTCATGGTCTGAAGATGAGACCATCTATTATATTTCTAATATGCCAACATTCATTCGTTTTCTGCATTTTGTCCCTCTTACATCCTAAAAACAACTGTGACCTAAACTCAAATTCTTAGTAAATGCCGTAAAACATGTTCCACTATTGTAATTTACATTCAACAGTCGATCAAATGTCTATTTATTGAGAGAAAGTTTCTGATATTGGTTTTGTATTTGGAAGAAATAAAACTTTGTCAAAATGTCAAATGTTTGGATCCTCGTAGTTTAATTTTGCATGGATTGCCTAGAGTTGCCCAGACCTTTTGTCAGTGGGGGCTAAATAGGAATGTGTGCGGTGGACCGAGCGCCAAAAAGACAGAACAGTTTACAAAATAGTTTACAAATAATGCTGGGTGGGTTTTAAGGTGAATTTTAAAAATATATATTTCAACATAACACTATTTTACTAAATAAAAAAAAAAAAATAAAATAAAGAAAAAAATTTTTACTAAGTTTACTAAGTTATATATAGTATAAAAGTATGTTCTCTCAGTGGATGCAGGGGTGGGGTTTGAGTAACTTTTTGGTGGCCAAAATGAATGTCTTCACAGGCCTGAGGACCAAACCTATGACAGGTCTGGTCTAGATGATACTCTACAGTGTCTACATTGTGTGAACCCTTCAGACAAAAGAACTGTTGCACTGTAGGCACTAACAATAATACCTTTCACTAGTCATTAACATACTCTTAGAAAATTTAAACTTGGGAGAATTCAATATTCACATTGTAATATTACATGTAAATTAGCCTGGGAGACAACTGCGATTGGATTCCAGCAGCACAAATACTGTTCTGAGACCACTGAAGGTGTAGAAATAGTGACAAGTCACCTTGATTTGTTTTTTCATGTATCATTTTTGTTTTTAATTTATTTACAAGCTTTAAATTTGCTCTATCAGTATGAAGAATTACAAGCACTTTAGGTTCAGCAACATCTCTTTAGTGTTTTTGTACAAGTTGCCATTTGCTCATTTAATTCCATTCAAAGTTCTTGTTTTGACTGTAATCTCAGCAGTCTCCTGAATGCATAGTTCTGCCGGATTATATGTTTCCACATAGAGCAAGCTAAAGCAGAAGGAAAATTGGTATGGTTATTGAAATAACCTTGAACATCTGACGTACGACCACGTCAATCCTCTCTAGAACCCTGACTGTGTTTTTAAATCCCCCCATGAAGCGTTTTTGTCCTTAACCGAACAATCTGAAAGTCAGGGAGGCTCTTTCACAACTGTTACCATTATTATATTAATAGAATTATTAACATTATTTATTTATTTCTATATCCACCAATGCCTCTTGACCATCTGCAAAATGTTATACACCTTTGTTTGCAGTTCTTAGAAAACAAAAACAAAACAAAAAAAGAACCCATAAATTAGAGTCTGAACTTTTTCAAAGTTTTGTTTCTTTGTAGCACATAATTGTATTAAGTCTTTTCTCTTAAAAAGTAACAAAAAAATTAAAAACTTAAATGAAATATTACTATAAATAATACATGTATTCTTTTTAGTGCTCCAGCAATTTTAAGTCATCACGTCGCTGTATGTCAGTGAACCGTACCATTCACACTGACGCACTCCATTCTTCCCATTGGTGCATAAGGTTTGCTTGTATTACGTTTCGTTTTAGAAGATGCAGTTATTGTGTCAGCGACTATTGTCTTTCAGCACATGTTGGCAAATGTGTCCGTTTTTCCCTCTCGTCAATTGTCCTCGGACTCCTCCTCAGCCTCCCGTAGCCAGGTGAAGAAGGCCGTCACCGACTTGATGGCCACGCCCTTGCCTTGCTGCTCAGCTGGGTCTTTGCTAGATTCCCACTTGTAGAAGGCGTCCTCCGAGATCACGTCTTCATCATATAAACAGTCAAAGAACATCCGGAGCAAGTCTGATGAGAGCAACAAAAGTGATAAATGTGCATTTGCTTTTGCGATTTTCAGTACAGTCCAATTTTAGAATGTGTAACACTTGACATGCATTAGAAAGCATGGTTTGTACTCACTAGGAGGCTGGTCCAGTTTTACTATCAATGCTTGAAGTGCATAAAGTGCTTGCAACTGTCTCTCCGTGTCCGAGTTAAGGTACTTGTGTAATACAGGCAATCGCTTCTGAATAATGGCCGTGTCCACTCTACAAGAGGATTTCTCCGCTGTACACAATTCCCCACAACCAGCACACATACACATACACATACAGAACAGCCATCCATTTAGACTCATGAGAGAACAGAGAAAATACTTCAACATTTGCTTAATTTAAAACATGAGCTAAAAACAATGCTGCATGTTTAAATGTGCTACATTTTCACACCAAACAGACTAACACTTACATTTTACTGCTGCTTTGCACACAGCAGTCATCAGAGCTCTGAGGAAGGGAGGTGAACTCATTTCTGATTCATCTAGGTTTGCCTGAGATGGAGAGATCACAAATTAATGAAGAAATACTAATGGATCAAGTTCAGCATCACAGTACAGTGTGACATTACTTTGGAAGCCTCGTACCTCTACCCAGTCGAAGATTTGTTCATCACTAGCCATGTCTTCCAGGAGAAGCTTTTCAAGTTGCTTGTTCAGTTCCTCAGGCGAGAGCGTTCTCTTAGAGACCGCATCAGCCGGACTTGAGCAATCAGAAAGAGTGAAGTCTAGTTTCTGGTGGAGGTTAAAAATGAAAGTGATAGTTGACATTTGCATGAAATTGGGCCAACAGCAGAACTCCATATACATACATACAGAAATACTATAAGGGCTGGCCCAAACACCATGTTGCATGCTTTGAATATTCAGTATCTGAATATCAAAAATCACCCTTAAAAACAGTAACATCTATGTTCAATAACTAACTATATTTTTTTATTTTTATTATTTCGCTTAAAATATATTCAGTGAGTACCTACAATGTATCAATAGTCAGCCTGAAGCCCAGCTGCTGTATGAGTCACCTTAGCTCCCTGGACAAAAACTTAGTCACCTTGTATGTTTAAGGTGGTAATAACTTCATCCTCGTGCAGCGCCATCTGCAGGAGGCTGATCTGGCTATAAATACTTGCGGTGTGTGTGCGACGGGATTCATAGATTGAAAAGAGGTGGTACAGTGCAGTGAATGTCTCATTCGATGTGTGAAAAATGGGTCACAAAGCAGATGTTAATGATTGGCAAAAAGGAGTGGGCGTGCCGAAGGCTATAGTGTGAAGGAAGTAGCTGAATTTGCAGGTTCATCGACGCAAACGGCCATACATCTACAGGAAACTCACGTGAGAATTGTGCCCGAAACACAAAAATGACAGTTAGTGACCTGATGAAATCTGAGAAATATAACCAAACATGACAAAAAGGGCTCTAACAATCATAACTTGACCGCTGGCAAGTTTCGCGGCTTGTGAATAAAAAAACACTTTGCTTCCAGGCAAGAACTGCTTCTAGCAGTCAGCGCAGGTCCTTCACAACCAATTTCTGAAAGAACATTCTTACTGGAGAGTGTAAGAGCATTTCAGGCTAAACTCAGAAAAAGGTTATCAGTTGTGCTATCTGTAAAGCAGACTTTAGTTGGGGCAGTGGAAGAGGAAACACATCGGCTCACTGGATGAAGAAGATTCACTCTTGGTAAGAACCGTCCCAAACTGCATACTAGCAAACTCAATAGTGTGTAAAAATAGCACATATCCCATTAGAAGTGCACTTACTAGTGTAGTTTGTGAAGTACAGAAGTGTGTGGTTTGGGACGCGGCAATAGTTGTGCTAGCGAGCTCGTTAACTAATGTTGATGTTAAAAGCTGTCCAACTTCCATGTTATGAACTGTAACATCTAAAGTTATTTTGAAATGTATGTTCTCTGGAATCATTAAGAAGTTGGAACAGAGAAGCAAGTAACTATTATTCACAATGGCCCTGTTCAGATTCCAGATAGCGTTTACACTACATAGTTGTCTTAACGTCGAGGCCACTGCGGTGTTCAAATTCGGAAAACATAGAATGTTTCCAAACAGTTTTCTATTTTCTGCAAACATTTGCCACCACTCGCAAACAGTTTCAGGAGTTAGTTCTCAGCGGACATACAGGGCAGCTGGATGGAGGGTTACCGACGAAATGAAATGTTTACACAAAATTGTTCAAATTTAACTGTTCATAGGGAACAAATTTTCTACAAACATTCGGCACTTTCCCATCTGTAGACTTTTGTACAGTTCTGTACAAATCCGCAGTCCGCGTGCATGTGTACTGAAGCAGAGGGAATAGCTCACCTGCTCAGTGACGAAGCTCTGCACATCCTCCGTTTCAGGGAGGAGATCAGACCAGCTTAACCCAGAGTCCCTCCATAAGGCCCCCACTTTCCTATGGCTCTATACACAAAGAAACCCAGAACATTTACTACAGTATCCTCAAAGTAAACAACTGCTTGTCATACATCTTACAAGTGTTAGTGACCTGACGGTATCTGAGAAATATAACCAAACATGACAAAAACAACTCTAGCAGTCATAACCAAGTATGTTAAATGTTGGAGTGTAATTTTCTGGCTTACCATTTGTTTGCATAGAAGGTGCAATATTTCAGAAAATAATATCCCAGCTCTTCCCACAGGGAGTAATGGTTTGCTAAATTCACTGCAAAACCAAAATAAAGGAAACATTGTATCATCCCATAAAACACCTGCAGATATCATTTATAAACCAATCAATCCACCCTACAAAAATGTTTGCCGAGATCCAAACAAAGACCATACCTAAATAATTCTCTCATAGAGATTCCTCCTTCTCGGAGCACAGGATTAACCAGCTCCGCTAAGTACAGCCATATATGGGGAATGTCAATGGCCATATCATCTGCTAACTCAAGGGTTTCTGAGAACCTGTGCCAAGAAAGTGAGAGAGAAATAAAAAAAAGGAAGTTCTGTCAGGAAATCCCCTCTATATTGTGCTGATGTTCTGATGAGGCTAATGGTTCCGTAACAGAGTGTGCCAGCTAAAAGCATTGCAGTCAGCAGTGGAAGCTGATGAGTCAGATTCTCCTAAATTTATAGACTAAGGTAAAAACAAGCATATAAATAATAACACAAATATATCTCCTTTATGAACATACATACACTAACAAGCTGTCATAAAGCAGAGACTGGGGACTCTAACAACAGTTAGAAGGAGCTGGATGGGGAGCACTGCACTCTTACCCTTTAAAGAACTGAGGTTTGGAGAGGCTCCCAGCCTGCAGCAGCTGATGGAACAGCTGGCCCATGTGGTCTCGCGTGATCTGGCTCCTCTCCAGTGTGGATTCCACACCCACCCGCACAAACACATACAGCATCGAGGCCTGCTCCAGCTCCTCCACACACTGCACGGCCTCCTGCACAGGCACACATACACACAGCATGATTATATGTGATGAGATTTTACTGAATGTTACCATATGTTACAGTTTTACCTCACGGTTATGTGATACAGAGACACAGACTCAGTTTGTCAATCAAATTAAATCAGATTGGGTAAAAATTGTGCTGAATACCTTGTAATCATTAATGTGCAAAAACTCATCAATGATGGACTTGGACCTTTTCTCCATCTCCTCCTCAGACAGCGCAGGCTTGTCTGTGGCAGAGCCTGACGCTGCTTCAAGTTTTACTGTCAAACAGGAGACACAAAGCAAACACAACAGAACTCTGATCACATTTCTGCCTTGGGTGCTCTGACACTTAACAGTGAAAAAAGCTGTTTTTCCTTTTCTGTCAGCACAGACACATCTGAACATTTTGAGCAGCAGCAGATAAACGGTAAAACTGTTGGCCACATGGAACTATTTCATGGTTCCTATGAAGGACATTAGACAAGCGAGTGGTATTCAGTGTTCAAGCTGATCATCAAGAGCAGGTACAATGCTTCTCCACTACAGGTTTGACACACTACTCAATATCCTGCTCCTATTGCAAAATACAGCAAAGAAACAAAAGCAGATAGGAAAGTCCTTGGAGGATGAAGGACGACCAACCATTGTCTGTTGTGAAGAATGTTGGATTTAATGGCACATACTGTAGCCTACATACTGTGGTCATTTTAGTTTGTTTGTTTCATGTATTGTCAGCTTTTTTTGGGTTTATCAGTTTTGGTTTTCGATCTCGCTTGTCCTGAATTTCGGTTTTGGTTTCAGTGCGTCTATACTTCTGACACTCACATACTGCCAGTTATAAAAGAGACAAGAGCGCACTGCGGTTTTGTTTGGCATCAACTCACAAGAGACCACTACACTGCAAAAAAAATAAATAAATAAATAGAAATAAACCTCTCTCAGCAGATGAAAACATCCAGTCATTATTTGTGATTTAATATTTCTGATTATGGGATTGTTTGAAGTATATTTTAAGATTATTTAACCTATTTCTATATTTTTTTCACTTGTTCACAAGTAATTTTATCTAGTGAAGGTGGCTTATCCTATGGGCAGGTAAGTTTGCTTGTTACAAGCATTATGTGTTAAAACAATCAAAATTATTATTTAGCAGAACTAGTAAAATTAACTGCCAATGAAATGAGACACATTCACTAGGAAAAATGACTTTTTAAAATGAAGTAAAAAACACAGAAATAGGTTGAATAATCTTATAATACTCTTAAATAATTGTGAACTAATGAAAATATTGCATATATTAATTGGTTTAAGATGTTTTTGCATGTCAAGATTTCATTTTCTGCAGTGTACTGACATCAATACTTAAAAAAAGGCTCTCTTGTTAATTATCCTTCCATGTATCTATTAATTTGCTTACGTTTCAGGTCATTAGGGATGTAAAATGCATTGATCAGAAGCTGGTGAGTCACCTGCATTGCTTTTGCAATATTACAATCGACAATATAACAATTATAATGACATTTGAAATTTCATGATGCATTTCCTGAAGAACTGCAACTGAATTGAATCATTGTCAGGTCAGAGATTTACACTCCTACAGGGCACTCAGTGACCACTCGGTTCCGAAGCACACGGACAGCAGCTGCTAGGCTGAAAGTACAAAGTTGGAGTGTGTGTAAATCTATGACTCACCAGATTCCCTGGATTGGCTGCGCTCCAGTTTGCTCCTGCTGGCTGTGCTGGGCAGCAGTTTAGGCATGTCGGAGACATGTGTCTCCTTGTGTACCTCCTCCTGTGGAGGCTCCTCAGGGGCCTCCTTACCAGCTCCACCCACAGAGGGAGGCCCTGGCCGTGAGGGGCCTGAACTCAACGGCTTATCATTGCGTTCTCGTCCTGAGCTTCCACGACTGGGAAACAAACACACACACACACACACACACACACACACACACACACACACAAAGAAAAGAAAAAACAACACAACAACGCTTTAATCATCTTTAACCCCTTAAACTCTTAGGAGATCTGTATGTAGGCCCATACTTCTTCATACTGTCAAAACATACATACTACTTTCTTAGTAGTTACTCAGTAACTCACAGTAATGACTGATAACTGAGGCTACGTTCAGACTGCAGCTAAGGCCAAATCTGATATTTTTGTTCATATGTGACACAGACCTGTCTTTTGTGTGACAGCAAACAAACAAAATGGATCCAAGAGTTTCAATTCAGATGTGGGCTACTTTTGTATGTCATACTGAAATCCGATATGTGACAATGTGACCTCTGTTTGAACAGTCAGATCGGAATTCATATAACTTTTACATAAGCCCAACTGAATTTATCAAAATTTCACATGCTTGGGAATGCTTTATAGCAACTTAATCAAAATGTGTTACTATGGTTAGGCTTTGTATCTTCTTTGTATCTAATCAGTTCAGGAGTGTGATCTGTTCAGACTAATGTCAGATATTAAGAAGATAATGTGAATAATCAAACAACAAAATCACATTTGGACAGTATATCAGATATGGGCCACTTTGACCTGCAGTCTGAATTTAACCTGACTAACTCTTAAGTTTATTGTTCAATGAGATAAAAAGAGATTGAGATTTTCCACAGTGGTTTTAGAGATGCCTACGACAGATCCTGAGCCACATGTCCAGTGTTGTGCAGTACCTGCTTAGGCTTCTCTTCGAGTCAAAGTCTGACGCAGCAGAGGAAGTGGGCGCCACTGCTGGGGCCGAGGGCTGCAGGGGTGAGTAACGGTTCAGACTGCTGGCACTGGGGCGCAAGACGTCTGGAAAATGAACAAGTACATTACAATTTGTTCACAAAATCAGGCATGGCACAGACCACTGTAATTCATCCTCTCTTGTCCTACCTGATTCACTGGCCTTAGCTCCAGCTCCTCCACTGCTGCCCTTCATCCAGTTGAGCTGTGCTCGGGGCCCCAACTGAATCTTATCATCTATTGTTGACTACAGACACACAAACACAAAGACATTCAGTCTGGTTACATTATATTTACTACATAACCATGATGCTCATTCAGGCACATGGAACAGTGGTATTCGCATCACCAGCAGGTGGGGCAATTGGGTCCTGTGTTGATAAAAGAAGGACCGAGTAGTAGGGCTAGGATGTTTTAGTTGATCCTGAGGAAATGACTGTATCTAAGATCCTCAAATACCAAAAAAGACAGGTCAGGGACAGCATGATCGTTCAAGCAAAGATTCATAATCTAACAAGCTGATTTAGTGTTTTTAATGCTATTTAATGCCCTGGAAACTGGAGACCTGACAGGGAGTAGTCTTTCCACAAATGTGGACAGTCTGTACCTTGGAGATTTTGGGGATCTTGCTGGGGTCTATCGTCCTACTGTTCTTAGGTACAGGCACAGTGTTCCAGGTCTCCTCTCTCTGCAGTACTGAAGAATAAATGGAAATAAAATTATTAAAGAGGGGTAAAGAGTGAGATTGAGATATAGAGAGGTAGGTGAGGACAGCATGTATGTCACTGCATATCTTTGAGCAATTACTGTCACACATCAAAATGAGTGTATGTGAGAGAGAGAGAGAGAGAGAGAGAGAGAGAGAGAGAGAGAGAGAGAGAGAGAGGGAGGGAGAGAGAGAGAGAGGGAGGGAGGGAGAGAGAGAGAGAGGGAGGGAGGGAGGGAGGGAGAGAGGGAGAAGAAGAGAGAGAGAGCGAGCACACAAGAGAGCGAGAATAAGCTATAAAGAGGATTAGCCTATAGTGGAGTTCTCACTGACCTGGTCTCCTCTTGTCCTTGGACAGCAGCTGCTGATGGACCTTTCTCTGCTCTTCCTGCTCTTCGATTTTGGCCTCTTTGTGGATCTGCTCAATGGTCTTGGGGCCCAGGTCAGCTCTACGCGACACCCAATTATGCTGAAACAGAGCAACACACACACACACACATGCACAGCTGTTTACAACACTGTAGTTCAAATCTTCTTGTTGGATTCCAAGTCATCATTACTTAAGTCTGAACCTTAGTGTCATTTTTAGAAATAGAAATTGTCTTAAATTAATTAAAATGCACACGAAGAATAATTCTTCTCTATCCCTTCTCCCATTGTCCATGCATGCCATTTTGCAAGAAAAAACATTTCAAACAATAGCCAGTGAGCCGTTTGTGTCTGTCCTATAAAACCCAATTTAACATGTGTACATACAAGTCATGTCAAAGTTAATGTGTTAATATTTTGTCCATTCATACAGGTATAACAAAATGGACTGCTTTTTAAATTGGGAAAAAAAACACTCTAGGTTTACATAATTGCAAATAAGACAAATGTGATTGATCATAATTAACTACACAAAATAATATGATTAATCATGATTAATTATTTTAATGGTTCGACAGCCCTTGTATATACATATTTTTGTATTGTTCCACTGATCAAACCACCTCCAACATGAATGATTCACTAGTGATAAGAGGACTAAATTCAGGTTCTCTGCAAGTTTTAAAATAGGTCTGAGATTTATTTACTATATAGTTGTACACAAAAGTTTGGGTGCCCTGGTCACAATACATGTTTTGATGATTTTCTAGGAGACATCCTCCAAACCCCATGTGAAATACGCAAAAACTTCAACAGTAAAATACAGGTACTTGACGTACACCTTAAAATATTACATGAATACTTCAAATATTCAAAATTTAAATGCCCCCAGGAGCTCAGTCTTTTAAACCTTCCTATCTGCTCGAACTAGACCCCTGGCATCCTTTCTTTGCTGCAAGTTCATTAACACTCGGGCTCAATTTCTGAGCTGCTGAGCTAACGTTTATAAAACTAATGTTTTATATTGACTGAACTGTACTTAATTGTTGTGCAGAACTGAGGTATAACCGCTGTCTCGTAGACTGTTATTGGGGTAGGAGAGTTAGAGTGCATATTGTCAAACGAGCTAATATTAATTAAAATACTTTTGCGGGCCAAGTAGGATTGTGTCGCAGGCCTTGTGCTTAACACATGGGGGTTAAGTTGTAACTTGACTGAGACACTGTCCTGTTACCTTCTCAAACCTGCAAACTCAGACTCAAGTACTACAACACTTGTTATGCCTACTAGAGGAAATGGTTACTTCCTTGCAGCTTTTTGCAATAACAGTAAACGTAAGAACACACATGCAGAAACACAGATATAGCCACTAACCAGTCGAAGGTCGATGACATCTTGGAGCATGAAACGAATGCGTGATGAAGTCTTCCTCTCCTTCACTATCTTTTCCATCTGGTTGAAGTACTGATCCATTCGAGGCTAAAGGAGAGGAAACAAAAAGCATGAGCAAAGTTCCTTACACAGCGATTCTGCTGACAAACTTTAGATACTGATGTTTGTGTTTTGGCACCACTGAAGTTTCAGCAAAGCCATGTTTTCAGCTGAACTCCTTGGGAGTCACGGTCAGCAGAAGACATTTATGGGTCTCATGAGAATTTTGTTGCTAAGCACACTGCTAAATTTTGAAAAGCAGCCATATGTTTGCTGGGGCTTTGTGGGTAGGTATATTGTCACTAGTTACACTTGGGACCCCTGAATTAAACAGCAGAAGATGGAGACCAGGGATATGCTAATTTTCAGTCTTTAGGTCCAACTCATTTGCAAGAGCTCTTTTTAACCAAGTATATAAAGCAAAACAATAATAAAACAGCACAATGTGAAGTCAAAGATCAATTCTTAACTGATTTGTCAGTCTGAACTGACAATTCTTAACCAAACAGTGACTAAATTAGCTTATGTGACAAAAAAAGCTCATTTGTATACACTTCTAGCTTAAAAATTATGTGGTGCACAATCAATCAATCAATCAATCAAGCAATCAAGCAATCAAATCTCAGTGGCTTGCTCACCTTGGCTTTCTCAAAGTCCAGGTCCTTCCCGATTGTGGTGAGGAGTCTACAGAGGCACTCAAGACTCTCCTCATCATGATTCTTCAGCAGCTTCACCACACAGTCATGCATGATGGCTTCTGTCAGCATGCGTAGTTTAAACAACTCCCCAATGAACTTGATGTTTCCGATGGATCTTCTGCGGGCCTTGTCCTTCGCCTCCTCCAACTCCTCCTGCAGTCTCTCCCGCTCACTGGCCTGAATCAAAGACAAACATAGGAGCCACTTCAGTAAACCAAATCTAGTCTGTGTGTATACACATTCCAAATAAATGATACCTAAAAAATTCAGCAGCAGAACGCTCTCTAGATTTTTCCACAAACTGGCTGCTCTACAGAATCACAGGTAAAACTGATAGCAGCTTATCTTCTTGCAGCATCTTCTGCAATTCCAGCACCTTTTCGTAATCTGTGGGGCTTGTTAATTGGAAAACGAGGTGAAATTCTACTGAGAGGAACAGTGCTTACTGATGAAGCTGCTTCCAGCTCTCGCTGTTTCTTTTCAAAGACATCGTCATCCATTTTGTCCTTCTCAAACTCCTTCTGACAGCGGTTCAGCAGCAGCTTTCGGAAATTCACAGTGCTGGAGGGCTTGTCTGCCATGGGCACCTTTAACTAAAGAGGAAGGAAGACCGGGTAATTAAAGAATTAAATAAATAAATACAAGATCACTGCAATCCCATTAAGCTGTCTGCATCTAAACAGAAGTTGAATTAAATTATAACAAGATAAAACTCAATTCTGATTGACCCAGCAACTACTTTGGTTTTCATGGAGAACTTGTAACAATAACGTGCTACTCACCGTAGCCAGGCAGCTACACATATTGCCATAGGCCACAGAGAAGTTGGGTTCATCGATAGCTTTCTCAAAGACCAGGTCGATGACACCTTTGAGGCGCTCCTCTGTGTCAATGGTGAGGTCAGTCACCTGCTTCATTAGCTGGTTAAACATCTGTGGGGTCAGTTTGTTGAGGATACTGCGAACCTTTCGGAAAAGCTCCTGATAAGACAAAGGAAAAACAGGAAAACTAACTAAGCACTCCGCTGCAGTGATTCCATCCAATTATTATATGTATTGCTCTTAACTTAAGCAAACATTTAGGAAAGGAAATATGTGATGTTTTGTACTCCTGCAAGCCTATCACATTAGATGGAAAGTCTGAAAAACACATCTTCCTCGATGTCACTACAGGATGAGGTGCTGACCTGAGTTCTCTGGGTCTCGGGGTCCTCTGGGACAATCTCCCTCTTCATGCCAGGCTTCCAGGCATTCTCAGCCTTCTTCAGCTGCACCTCATCATTCACAGACACATTCGTGATGATCTTGCGGGGAGGAGGCCGTCTCAAGCCTACATTCAGGAGCTGATTAAAAAAAATAAAAAAAAAATAAAGAAAAGAGAACTGTTAATTATATATATATATATATATATATATATATATATATATATATATATATATATATATATATATATATATATATATATATATATATGTGAGTATATATAGTATTGATTAATATGAAAACGTTTGCCACGTTCATACAAACCCAAAAAAGTTGGAACAGTATGTGAAGTTCCCATAGAAACAGAAAGCACTGATTAGTAAATTTTGTTTGAACTGTTTAAAACACATTCCAAAAAGATCACCTTTCCTTTTACCAATATTTATGTCACCAACTGATCCAGTTTAGAATTTTTTTGCCACAAGTCTTCAGCTGGGCAACCGTGTGGGGCCTTGTCTTATTTAGCACTTCATAATGCTCCACACATTTTCAATAGACAGGCAGGCTGGTCTAGCACCCACCCTCTCTAAATACACAGCCTACCAGCATTGTTTTGCTAAAACAAGCAGGAAGATCTCTGAAAAAGATGGCATCTAAAAAGACAGCATATGTTGCTCCAAAACATGTATATAACTTTTAGTATTTATAGTGCTTCACAAATGTGCAAGTTACCCACTGTTACACCCTGACACTGACTTTGTAACTTTATACTGGTAATAAAAAAAAGGTTAAAAAGGCTGAATAGAAAAACACAATAAATTTCTTCACTGTGTGTCAGCCCATTTCAGCTGAACCTAAGCCCAGAGAAGTCGGAAGTGTTTCCGGACACTGTTGACATATGACTTCCATTGTGCATAGTACAGTCCCAATCTTTTCTGGATTGTTGCGGGCATCAACTTCAGAATAAAAACAAAATAAATAAATAAATAAAAAGAGAATTAAAAAAATGAAGATGATAAGGCAAACATCTTGGTCCTGTTTTGTTTGTTTAAATGTAGATCAAAGTGGTATAACTGCTTTCTGTTTTTATTTGGGTTTTGCCTACCGTCTCATTTTTTTGGAATTGGGTTTGTACAAACAGAGAAAGTAAATATTGTCACCAGGACCAATGTGGCATTAATGTAACTGAATCAATGTTTTTAATAGATTTGTGCAAGCGAAAATAAAAGCGCAGACAAAACAGAAACCTACCGGCGCGCCTCTACTTCCAGGAATCACCCTGCCAAAGTCTGCGAAGGCTGGAGTGAAGTCTGGGCCTCTGGAGATGACCCGTGGGTCCACTTGCCGCAGGGGCAGCTTGTTTTGGTTAATCTGTAAGGGCAGGAAGTCAAGAAGAAGACTGTAAGCCCCTGTTATCCAGAAAGGCCTTATTCTGGTTCAGTAATGTCTATGGTTCAGCAGGCTTACCTTGTCAAGTACCACATCTGAGATGGGAGGAAGCCCCTCAGGCTTCTGCACGCAGGCAGGCATGAACTGGAAGCCCAACAGAAAGTCTCTATTATACTGCCTCTTCCCATTCTTCAGTTCTGGCTCTGCGGGTGGAGGAAGGACAGTGAGCAACAGATGGCAGATGGCAATCAGAAAATCTGAAGGAGACTAGTGTGAAAGAGCGAGCCTCACTTTGTATTGCGTTGGTAGAAGGCTCTTTGAGTGCAGGTGTGAGGACTCCATCACTGCTCTCAGGCTCTGAGGTGTGCTCTGGTCCGTTCCTCAGAGGCTCCACCTCCTGCTCCCCATTCTCCTCCACAGGTGCTGCTGTCGAGCTCCACCGCTCCACACCCACAGAAGGAGGGACAGAGTGCTCCACTGCAGCCTCTTCAGCTGGCTCCAGCTTCTCCTAACACGCATATTAAGACAGTTTGTATCATGACTACTGAGACGTAATTAGTTTGGTCAAAACAAATGTTTTTACCCAATGCAAACATATTACGAGCAGCATGTCTCAAACTCACCTCTTTGTCAGGACACTGGGCTTGCCCCACAGAAGAGTCCTCTTTTGGCTTCTTCCAGGTCTTTGGTACACTAGACGCAGCTGCAGCAACATAACAGGTCAACAATGCTCACACACTGTTACATCCCATCACAGCCAGCGTTTCCCTTATATTTTTAGGTAGTATACCCTTTGAAGCTACCAGCACTGTTGTGCATCTATGGTGTGATCAAATGCTTGCGGCGCCGGAGAAGTTATTTTTAAAAATGCAGTGAATGTGTTTACATGTTTTACACTCTCTATACATTTATTTTAAAATTTACATCAGAAAGATTCACAGGTGACTTAATGCCTGTCATTTCATGCTGGGTCAAAGGAAAATATGATCAGAGCGGATTTGGTATCTGAATAAACTACACTGCATCTAAGCCAAGGGCCATGCAAGTTTGGCCAGGCCGGCCATCCAGTCTAATTTATGGTCAGGAAAATGTTGATAGCATATCATGCATTTGGCATTTACCTTGACTGGAACTTGATCTAAGGTTGGACTGTAATGTGGGCTCCAGTTTTTCCTCTACTGAGACATCTGCCTCCTTTTCGGTTTCTCTCGGCTCTGGCCCGGTTGAGGCTCTCCTGACTGGGCCTGTCTCTGCAGCTCCCTGGCCTGGGAGAATGAGGCTTGGAGAAGGAGCAGGTCCAGGCACAGTACAAACAGCAGCAGCAGTAGTGGTGGCAGCGGCAGGCAGGGAGGGGGTCACAATGCCTGAAGTGACTGTCTCTCCAGCTGCAGGACTTACAGCCTTCACTGCAGGTGCGACAAGGTTGGGCTCCGAGCTGACTGGCTGGGGCCGGGGAAGGCTGAGCTGAGCAGGCTGTAGTTCGGGAGTCTGGCTAGGCTGAGAGGGCTGAATATCTACATCTTCAGAGGGAGGTGTGGCGTCCGTTTCGGCCAGCCCATTGACAGCCTTTACGGTCTGGCCTGAAGATAAAGTCAACTCGGAAGGGGCTCGCTCGGGCTCTAGTTTCTCTGGCTCTGGTGTAATGGCGCGCACAGAGCTAGGCTCCACTGAAGGGGCTGGGGGATCCGCTGCCTCCAAAGCTGAGGCAGTAGGCTTGGAGGAGCTTGGGGCTGGAACTGAGGCTGGAGCTACACTGGGGGCCAGTTCTGGGCCTGAGGGAGGAAGCTCAGATTTCTCAGAGAGATGCAGGTCTTGGGCAGGGGAAGCTGCAAGGACAGGGGCAGGGGCCAGGACAGGAACAGCAGCTGCGGGAGCGGCAGGGGCAGGGCTGCTGGGCTCTCGCCTCTGTGCAGGAGGCTCCCCAGGCCGTAGCCCCGGCGATGAAGACTTCAGCACTGCACCCTCAAGCTTTGGCTTGTCATCTACAAAAGAGGTGTTTGGAAAGCCACCATTCAATTGTGTTTCTAGGTTCATTTGCAAGGTATAATCATGTAGGTGATATCTGCTCCAGTTCTAAACCTGTAGTTACCAACTCTGTTCCTGAAGATTTACCACCCTACAGAGTTTAGCTCTAATCCACGGGAATCAAAAGCAGATCTTGGGTGGCCACAGCTTTGGAGATATTTGTGTTTTGCCACTTCTAACATTCTAAATTTTGCTCACCAAAGACTTTGCTAATCAAAATTTAATGTGATAAAAATATGCTCCCAACAACCATGCAGAGCCTGGTAGACCACCAAACCTACCACCATAGGATAAACAGTACTTAAAGCTTTAATCTTTGAGAGACAGGAGAAACTCAAGCTCGACACTCAAGCTGTTTTATCCATTATTCCACTGTGAGAAGACAATCAACACTATGGGATTAAAAAGATACGCAGCTGATAAGGAGCTTTTAATGACAAAAAGAAATAAACACAATAAATAAAAAAAGAATTGGCAAATCAACCAAAGCTGCTGGTGTTCTCACAACATTGGAAAGGCCACCCCAGAGCCCAGACCTCAACATCACTGAATGTGTTTGGGATTACTTGGATTGTGAGAAACAGAAAAAGCAAACCAAATTTTAAGAACTTTGGAAAGTGAAAAAATACCCCTGCAGACATGTCCTAAAAAGAACAGAAGCTGTAATCAAGGCACGGTGGACACACAAAAAAAAAAAAAAATATATATATTATATTTAGTTGTTCAGGCTTCTGTATATTTTCTATGAAATACATGTTTTCTGCCTTTTTTCCAGGCACTGAAAATGAATAACTAAACTAAATAAATGAATGGCGATTTTTGCACAGTACTGTAAGGCTGTGAGGTAATCCTTTATTAGTTGACTACTGAGCGTTGCTCTAAACCAGTGCTTTTAAATTCAGCTCCTGGTGACTCAGCAACCTGCACATTTTTATGTATTCTCTGCCAAACACACCTGATCCAATGCATGTAGGGTCAGTAATCAGTTGAGGGGCTTGATCAGGTGTCTTGCGACAGGAACTTTTTGAAACTATGTTGTGGGTGCCTAGGAGAATAATTAAGAAACATTGCTCTAGACCTGCACAAGTCAGAAATCAGAAAGCTGAAAGCGGCATTGAAGAGAGGCCTGACCTGGTTTCAAGTCGACAGGAGCAGGGAGGACTTGGGTGCTGTCCACACTGTACATAACGTGCCCATGTTCCGCAATCTGGCTGTTCAGCTGCTGGGATTTGAGGTAGAAAATGTGAGGATAATGAGGGTGTTGACATAAAAACTAGCAAAAGAGAGAAAGAGAGGAGTAAAGAGAAACAGAGTGAAAGAGAAAGAAAGAAATATTGCACATATATGCAGCACACAGACAGAGCGGAAGAGGGGAAATGGCAGTGGGGGGGCAGTACGGCATAGCATAAATAGACAAGTAGGTAGTGAAAGTGGCGAGGAGAGAAAGAAGAAAATAAAGAGAGATAGCATGAAAGAGTGCAAGCAAGAGACAGAAGTACCAAAGCATGAAGTTGGGTGAGGCACAAAACAGCAAAAGACAGTAAACACAAGGGTAGAGGGGGGGTTAGACAAATGGACAAGAGAAATGGGGAAAGAGAGGAGAGACGAACACTGTTAACATTTAGGGAGAGAAGACACAAAGTAAGAGTAACAACACAATAGTGAGCGTTCCCTTTACAGAGAGAGGCTTTCTCCTAGAGATGCCCAAGTTCGTAGGCTATGCCGGATCACTATGGGCATTTACATGTGCTGTCTCTGTAGAGGGAACACAAGGGGAGATCAGGATGAGACAAACGACTGTGAAGCAGAACTAGGATGAAGGCAGATGAAAGAATAGGTAAGCCACGTCAAACATCAAGAAAAGGTTTTTTTATGTACTACAATAGTCAGATTCACATGAACAACTAAAAGGTCTATACAGACAATGCCAGATAAAGTGTGCCAATTTACTCCGTTTTACCTACAGGGAGAAGTTTACTGTAGCTTAGCAACAAAAGCATGATTAACTCAGCGACTGGTAAGCAGTTAAAGCACAGGGCGGGTGACATCAGGTCATAGCCACAAGCTGTGGCTTCAGATAAAGAGATAAATTGGAGATTATGGGAAAAAAGAGGTAGCAGCTGGCTTAGTGATCATCACTATGTGCATGTGATCAATTGGTGATTTAATGTAGGAATACAAATGAAACTGCTTTTCAGCATTAAACATCTCTTTCAAAATATGTGAAGGAGGAAGTGAAAAAGGCTGGATATAGAATTCCCATTATGCCATCAGCTTTTGTTGCTGACTGCATGATGCACACTGAAATAAGGACAGGTAACAAAACCCAAACAACCGTCTCAAACTCACTAGCAATGACTAAGAGAAAGAGTTCTTTGGCGTTGTGGAAGTGAACAGCAGATTGCAGCTGTTTAAGCTCTGACATGTATCTGTATATGATTGAATATCTTACCTGTGGAGGAGTAGGGGTGGAGGATGGCCGTCCCGCTGGAGGGGTTGGGTTCCGGCTCCCGCCCACTCCTGACATGATCTCCTCTGTGATGTCTTTGCCACCCTGGTTAGGGTCTCGGATGCGGATCTTAAAGGGCATAAGCGGGTATGTAGTTAAACAATAAAGTATCCATATCTATTAATTCATTATACAGTATTCAAATTAAGATTACTAGAGAAACACTCACGGTTTTCTTCTCTCTCTTGGCAGGTGGAGGTTGTTGTGGTGTAGGCACTATTATGGATGGAGATGGTGTGTACATGGTCTGGCCAGGATAGTATGGAGGCCCCGCCGCTAAGTGTGAGGAAAAAAATAACCTTTTCCAGTTACAGTTCAAAATGGAAACCACTTGTAAACAGTGGCAAAAGCAAAGGTGGAGAGAGATAAACTAGGCCAAACTCACCATATGCTGGAGGGAAATCTCCTGGAGTGGGTCCAGGGTAGAAAGTACTGGGTCCAGCAGGTTGGACTGAGTACTGTTGGGGAGGCCCCACATATGGAGGAGCACTGTGACGGTACTGTTAATTAAATAAACAAGAAGAGGTGATTACAGGCCCGCCAAATACCACTTATATAGCTATTCTGAGATAGCTGAGGACAAAGTTAGATACAAAAAAAGTGTAAATTTTGACAATTCAAATATTACTTTCCTTAAAGGTTACACTTGAGGTCTGAAGTCTTAATTTCCCCTCTTATGTTTTAGACTTAAAAGAACTGAAGCAATACTTCTTATACAGGCTTATAACAGGAAAACACAAGCATTACCTTGAAGGACCATTATGTATAGTTACATCTGTGACATACATCATCAGTGATGTAAATAAGAGGGTTTAGCGGGGAACACTGCAGAATTCAATGCCACAGACTAGGGCTCAGTTCCCTGGCTCAGACAAGAATACCATGGTATATATTAAGAGTCCCTGAGCAAAACTCCTAACACTACATTCGCCTACCTCTGTAACACGATTAAACTTGTAAAGTCGTTCTGGTAAGAGCATCTGCCAAACGCACAAATGTAAAAACAAATGTCTTAAAAACACAGTGCAGCATTAAAATCAATACATATTTTTCATGCCCTTCTGCCTGTTTGTGGTTGTTATTTCCAATCTAATGCTAGACAGAAAACAAAGGAACAAAGTCTTCTCTGGTGCATTTGTCTAACCTGGGGTATGTAGTATTGGGCAGTCTGAGGTGAGGGGAAAGGCATAGGCGTCATGGACATCATGATGGGCTGACTTGGGGGGTAGACGGTGGCAGCTGGGGCCTGGGAGGCAGGCCTAATTGAAGGGCTGTTGCTTGAAATGGTGGGTCGGGCTGCCTGCATCTGAGTCCTCTGGAAAAACTGGGAGAGACGAGAGAGGAATGATTAGTCATAAACATCTACACTCTTGGTTGGCATTTAAACTGTGTACTGCAAGAAGCAGTCTGGACCTGAAATGTGGACCTGATAATTATGCTACGGTTACTACAGCAAAAATCCAAACTGACTGAAAATGTGTGACATAAAAAAAAATCAAATTTTTAACAGGTACTATTAACTGAAACATGCAAAATACGAAATGAAAACCTTATATTTTAATATACATGCATGGCAGTAATAAAGGGGCAATTAAACTAGCATGAGAAATGGACACGTTTGATGCACCTAATTCCAAAGAGGTGACGCATATAAGATAAAATTCAATGTTTATTCTTTCTTGTAAATTTGTCTACAGACTAATTTTAACAAAAAGACTTGAATGCTAAAAAGTCAGAAAAAGATATTTTTAAAGGCAACCCACCATTCCAGTTTGTTGTTCACTGGATGTGAATATAGCAGTGGGATTCCTTTTAAGCACCACAAAGTATGACTTCAGAGGGTAGAGGGCAGGCTGAGTAATCTAGGACTTTGGCTAGGACACTGCATATTGGTCATTATTCTGCAGTGACAGGTACTGTTGCTACAGAGTGGCCCCTCTATTGCAGAGTCATTCCTCTGAGGTCAGGACATGGTTGACACATTTTAGTCTGGCTCACTTTTAGGTCAGAAGTCAGAACAACAACCATGAACCATTTTTAACTTTTGTGGCAAAACTTTTGCCTAATCTCTCAAATCTAAAGTTGGAGATCCCCCAGTAACGGCACATGATTGTAACAATCTTAAAATCACTTTGTTTATTGCAGTGTTTTTATAAATCAGATAAAAGATTGAAATGCTGCTTAAGAAAGATTAACAACAGTTAAAGGGGCACTCCAGCCTAAACGAAAAATGTAACCATTGCTATATCTGTTGCAAACATGCCAACTCGCCTTCTACAGGTGGTGCAACAATAGTTTTGTCAGTGAGATTCTCCAGTTTGAATATGAGAAAAACCCCTTCAGATGCTGTATCTGGAAGAACTGTTTGAAATGTGTTTTTCTCTCCTGCTAACTGTCAAGTATTTCTGTATGGCATTGGAGAGGGATTTGCAAAGTTTGTATAACATATCTCCACTATACATGCTGGATATTGTAGTAAGAGAAAAGTGATGGATGAAAACACAAAACTGAATTTTGTAAAACCAAATGAGGCTGAAGGATGCAATGCTGCACTAAAGAATACTACATAACATCACAGTAACATTAAACAATAGTTTCAGTTCAGAAACCCCTTTCACATCAGTATGTGAATCTCACATAATGCCTCCAACTGAACTGTTACAAGCTCTTAATTCTTTCTGAACATAAAATTTCCCTCCAGAGTTTATGAGGCAGGTAGGAATATGCCTTTGCTGAGTCTCAGGGTAATGAAGAAGCCATAATAACATGTCTAACAAAATGATTAAGAGGCAGTGGAGGCTGGAGGAAATAAAGAAAAGGAAAATAAAAGATAAAATGGAGGAGTTGGCTTCCTCCAGGGTGGGGAGCAGAGCACAGCTGCAGTGCACAGGGTGGGGGAGCTTCACTGAGAAATGGGGACTTCATGCCATGCATTTCTTTAAGACTGCAAATTACCTGAATGGGTCTGAATCCTCCCTTGAAAATTGAAGCAGGAAAGAGAAAGAAGCTAATGGGACAGTGCACTAATTGGTATGGAGGGACAGAGAAATGAACACACAGGCGCACATTCACACACACAGAGCTTTCCGGAGTATAAAGCATGCAAAGGGTCTGCAATCTGAACAGCTCTGCTTTCAGGAAAAGGTTTTTTTTTTCAAAACCAGACAGTGTGTTGTTGAGGAAACAGAGTGACATCATCTTCACAAGGTTAAAAAAAATGTGCTCCACTAACTCTTATAGTCATTCAGAATAAACACACCCAGCTAAGCATGCTACTTCCTTTTTGAAAAGTCTCAAAGTGAACCACAAGAGCAAAGGGCAGCCTGACATTTAAGTTACTTAATTCCTGCAAATCTGGCAAACAGACTGAATACAGGCTTGCTTACATAAATCACAGTATAATTAATTAAATTACAAACAAGCAAGCACATTTTCCAGTACTTCTCTTGTCAAATTACCTTACAAAATCAACCAGAAGAACAGAAAGATGTTGCCTTTGTAAGGAGGAAATGCCTCCTACAAAAGACTCATTATTAACCTTCATTAGAGAATGAAACAAACACTTCTTTGTGGTATTTGCTTGTGTACATAGTCCAGTCAGACATTTCACTTCTCCATCTTTTCAGAGCAAAATTCCACCAAAGCCAGCATACATACAGCTCCAAATACAAATCACGACCATGTACTGTGGGGTCAAAGTTTGGTCAAGTTATCACGCAGATGCTTAATGGTAACCTGTGCTAGTCCATCATATTATATGGATTTAAGATTTAAGAGCAGTTTCCACCCTTTTTTCTCTCACCCTTCCCAGCCTGGATTCAACCGTTAAACAATACAGGTGTATGCAACGTAGAGCTGATCAATCTGAAAAATATCTAATTGCGACTGTTGATCAACATTGCGAGTTTAAATTAAAATTATTTTCCTGTAAACCAAGATCCAGGACCGTTATTTTGACCAAAAAACAGCGCATTAACATCTTCTGGCCTGAAACTTAAACACTAAATGCAGTGCACCAGACAGCCACTTTTGTTGTAGTTGTGATGTCACAGCACGAGTGTTTTGTTGCTGTCTAACTCATCTATAGGCAGTTTACAAGCTGTGTTACTATGTTAATATTGCAGATTTGATGCAATTTGATGCAAATTTTGACACAAAAACTATTAATATTTCAGCCCACCGCCAAGACTACAAAACAGTCTTTTCATAGACAACATTCATCAGTCAGTGGTTCTCAAACTGGTCCCCAGGGACCCCGAGATGGTCAATATTGTTAGTATAACTATGTGTGTTGGGAGTTACGTAAATTATCTTAAATTACCTAAATAATACTTAAAATAATTAGCATGTTATTTTTCTTAAAACACATTATCGAAGTCTGTGTAGTTGAACCATTAAAAAACAGGGTGTTTTTCATCATTATAGATGAGATGCTCTGAAACGTAGCTTTGGAAAATTATGAAATATATTTTCATATCTTAACCGCTCACTGAAACCATCAGGACACAGACGTTGTACAGAAAATACTGAGAATTTTCCTCAGATGGTATGTCAAACTAAGGGAAACTCTTGCACAGATTGCGGAAAATTTCCTCCATAGGATTATTAATTGCCCCATTAGATTTCAATGTTTATAACTAAAATGTAATAAAACATTTTATGTACACCATACTATTAAATATCATTTACTAAGCTGTTTAGAATAAAATTATTTAGTTCGCTTTTAGCTCTCTTTCCCAATAAGGTGATTATTACCTTTGAGGCATGGTCATCAGCTTACTTGTCAATCATTTCTGACATCTGATTACATCAACCTGTTGCCCAGGTCTACTGTGAGATGGAGCAAACGTGTTCCAACTAGCAGTCCCTGAGGATCGGTCTGAGAATCACTGATCTAAGGTTAGAGAGTTATACACCCTTGGGTACTGCTGGGCATCCACAGGACATCGCACAAAGCCCTGCAGGATTTAACATACAGCAAAGCATATAGTGTGACGTGCTGCACTGCATCGGAGTACATTACCTGGTGATGGGTAGGACGAGGCCCAGGGGCAAACTGAAGGAGGGGGAGCATGGCAGAGAGGGGAGGCAGGAAAAGAGAGAGAGAAAAAGAGAAAGAGAGAGAAAGGGAGACAGATGAAAAACCACTAATGAAAACTGCAAAAAACCACAAGCTGTGCGAGGCGGGTCGGCATTAATGAGGCTTGCTGCCTGAGCAGAAGACCAAAGCCTGGCGCTTTCTCGCCCACAACACTACCATCAACATAACAGAACTAACTACATCATTAGCAAAATCATCAAGCCACAGCAGTATTATCTTTTCTTTGTATAAGAACATCCAAACTCAGCTGCCTTAATTGAATGAACGTCCAGAAGATAAAGTGGGAAACACTGTAAATACTACTGGAGCGAACTAACAGGGCACTCACCGGGCGGCTCTGAGGCTGGGCGTTCATTTGTTGCGTTGGAGGAGAGTAGACCAGAGGAGTCGTGCCGGCATTCTGGCCCGCCGTGTACGGAGACTGCAGCGTGCAGGGCAGGTTCACAGGGCGCCGAGACAGAGAAAGAGGAGTGAAAAGGAGAAAGAGAGAGAGAGAAGAGAAAACAAAATTTAGTCCTGGTGAAAAACCTGGCAGCTGACTATGCTCGGCCCTCTTCTGCTTGAGGCTTCAGTGAGTGTGGGCGACGGAACGAGGGTGTCCGCTACTTGCCGCTGCAAACACTGCGGTCTGCTGACACTGACAAATCTGCCATCTCTGCCTTGAGGAGAGAGCGAGCGAGAGGAGGAGAGGCAGAGCTAGGCGTAGCCCTGGACAGCCGTGAGTGGGCGCCGGCTGAGAGGCTGCATGCGACAGGGCTTACAGAGCCAGACACTGAAACTTAGCCAACACTCCACCTCCTCTCTCCCTTCCTCACACCTCTCCATTCAGCTGGGCCTGCATGATCTCGCTGTGTTTTGGTTGTGGGTGGGGGTAATTAAGGTTTAGCCTCTGGAGCATGTTAACTGGAATCTCTATTAATAGCGGGGTCTAGCAGGGGCTGCACTTGCCAGCAGTGCGCCGCAGGCATAGAGTGGAAATCTGAGCGCTCGCCTCAGACACACAGAACAAGCTCCAGAACAGCTGAGTCACTGTGACTGACTTTCTATTTCAGGGAGAGAATCAGCTGGGTACAGTCAGGGTTTGGGTGCGTAAGTATGTGTTTGAAAGAAGACAGTTACAGACATGTGCACACATACACTTGGACACAGGACAACTCACGGCAGGGGTCTCAAACTCAAATGACCTGGGGGCTACTAGCTAGGTGTTTTTCTCCCCCCAAGGGGGCCCCAGTTATAATAAATAAAATCTAATATTTTATTATTCTAATTATTATTAAAAGCAGATATATAAGTAGAAATATAAGTGGAGTAAGAAGTCAGAGGAATGACCAGAAATCTATAGAAAAATATAAATACAACTTCTGACGCTTGTGGTATTTATCAAGGTACACATATTTACAGATAAAACCATTCCAGATGCATATTTTTGTAGACTAACAGTGGCATATTATTCTAAGACGTACCTTCATTTTTCATAAGAACCATTTATAACAACTAAAGTTAATCGAATATTTCTATACCGCATATAGATAAACCCATGTCAGCATTTCTTCCTAACTAGCCTGGCAAAAGATGAATATTATTTCACGTCGGAATTTCTACAGAGCTGATGCTGGCTGCTTATTCGCCAGCTTTTTGTATAAAATTTCCATTCCACCTTAAATAGAACAGCAGTGGAGCAACCTGAATTTTACTGCCACACCTCGAATAAGAAACCAACCTCAGCTTCTTCGATTTTCTAAAGTCGGACTGTCGAACACTGCTGGAATTTGGAAAATATTACAGTCTTTCATGCTTCAGTACCAGCTGGTCCACGGCTTACTGCACACAAACCTTGAGAACACTGTCTGATGCAGCTGACTGAGCCAGGTCAGCTGACTAAGTCACTTTTAGGCAGTATGTGAATAAACAGAAGCACTCAGGTGTCTATGTTAGGCTAAGACTAACCCCAAAAGACCAGCCATTCCTTTATGTCCGCTGCCTCAAAAAGTGGATGACTTTAGATGCAATGGACTAGACAGTGGCAGGTGATTAAGGGAGTACTACATTTTTATTTTCATGTAAAATGTGTCACACTTCGCTGGCACAGCTGTTCGGTCAAAAAGGCTAGCATTAGCATGGTTTGCACTGTTTGTATGTTGCGTTATCTGCGCTTATTTCTGGCATTCCGGTATAACGATGCTGATGAAACTCAAACCTGAAGAAGAGCTTAAATTGGTATATGCGATGAACTGGTATTTAATAAGTACTGTAGTGGTCAACTGAATCAAGTAACTTGAACTACATTTAATAGTAGAATGATATGAGACTCTTATTGTGATAGTGTGTAAAGTTACTGCAATTGTTGCATTCTCAGTAGATTTGTTTAAAATCCATAAATCCATTACTTTCTTAATTCTGACATGCAGTATCTAAAACTGTGTATGAATCCACAAAGGCAGATTTAAAGCATAAGTTTAAATTAGAATGACAGCCAAGTTAGTTTTAGGTTTCTGTTTGGTTCCTCTTGTACGCTGCAACACTATTTTTTGCGTTTGACAACATACGGTGCTGTTAGCACTGATTTTTTTATCACTTATGTTGCGTAACCAGCCACAGTGTCTGGTAGGTAAATCAAACACACCTGTCAGATGTAAATATTTAGCCACAGGAGGGTAAAAAAGGTTTATTGTGGGCCTCATTAAAGAATTAACTGCAAACACGTGATGGGCTGTATGAAGCAGCTGGTAGTTTGAGACCCCTGACCTACGGTAAATTACATGACACAGCGCACACAGACCATGCACAAACTCGGCCAAACTTTCAGGGTGCAATCACAGGTTTTAAGGTCCAATATATCTGCACTATGTTTACACTGTTTTTAACTGATTAATGACCCCTAAAGCTGTACAACAACCCCAGTCACAAAATTCACTACTGAGGCATGTGTATTTCAACTTGAAGCTCCTTCAAAAAAATTTTACTAGTTATTCCCCAGTCAAAGTGGGAAAAGGGTTGCATGGGCATTGCTAAGATTAGTACAACACAATTATGAGTGAAAATAATAATTTTGATTTTTATGACTTCTGTGACTGTGGTGATTATTTAAATTGTCAGAATTCACTGCTCTCTCACTGCTCTCTCTGAGGAAACAGCTGTGACTCATAAGACTTAGAAGCCAGTGGCGGAAATTTCTGTGGTTCACTGACTTTGTAGCACTGTAAATATCAGAGGAAGTTGAGTCTGATGCAGCAGACATCAACAGGATAATATTAAACCTGCAACATGCAATCAAAACCAACATAACACACTACTGGAGGTTACATCTTTTAAGTCAGATCTAAAAATTGAATCTACATCACAATCAGAGTCCCAATATCTCAGGGGTACTGAGATAATCAGGAGCTTTCTGAGTACAGTAGAATACAGGAGTGTGCAAAATCGAAAAGGGTAGACAGTATAGCCAAACAGAGCAAGAGGAGTTGTCACAACATTAACACAGATGATTAAATCAGTTCAACTCGTCTTATTTAGATTAGTGGTCTTTCAACCACCAGCCATTTTATAATTTTGAGTCAGTGTAAATTACTTAGGCATACTTGATTAGAATTGTAGAAAGAATAATGAGATTCATGAATACATAGCCTCCTTCAACTGGTTTTGCTCCTCGAAAGCCAGAATGTGCCTTGAGCGCTCACTGATTAAAACAGGAACTGATTTTACACACACAGTGCTGTGCAAAAGCCAAGGACCACCCTTCAGTTATTTAATTTCCAGTCAAAACAACCATTAAGTTACTCATTTTTCAGATGACTTTTCTGATGAGATTCCAACATAAGGAAGGGGAAAGTCAGAGGAAGCTAAATGAAAAACAAGAGTTAAAAAGTATTAAAAAGATACAGAGAACATGGCACTCCTGATAATCATTCAAGACCTTCTAGACCACCAAAACTGTCAGATTTCATCTTTAAGATCTGAAAAGATCTACAGGTGTTTCTGTCCATCCTTCTGCTGTGAGAAGACAACTCAGCGCTAAAGGATGTGTAGCTGCCAAGAAGCAGTTACTGAAAAAAGGAAACAAACCAAAAAGAAAATTTGCAAATCTAACAAATAAGCCACTGGTGCTCTCAGAACAATTAACTGGCTATCCCACAGCTCAGATGTGATCACGAAAGCGGTTGGGATTACTTGAATCGTGAGAAACAGTAAACGCAAACAAACTTCTAAGAATGAACATTGAAAGATGCTGCAAATGAATAATTTGAAACTTAAAACCCTTATGATGGAAATTAAATAAATGAGAGGGTGGTCTCTGACAAGTGCAATCCAATTTGTCAGCTACAATGCAATGTTTGTATTCACAGCATTATCAGCATTTTTTTTTGCATCCACGCATCCCTAATTATTCTTCTGTGTGTTGTCTGGGTAACGAGTGCAATATAATCTTTTACTCATCTCAGAGTTGAGTAAGGAGCTCGACACAAGCAAACACTAACATGCTGATCAGCTCAACAGTGAAGACATATATACACACACACACACACACACACACACAAGCTCTCTCTAAGGCAGTTGCATGGGTGCACTCACCCCTCCTCCTGCCTCCCAGCCTTTAGGGTGGCCATACAGATGCGGAGTGGATACTGTGGAAACTGATACCTGAGAAAGTCCAGGGGAAGAGGCGTGGCCTGGCGGCGTGGCCGCTAGGCTGGGGTGTCCCTTGCTGATTTCATGTGCTGTGTAGGGGGGGCCAGGGGGTCTCTGTACCTGAAACCCACCAGAAAGAAAGCACAACGTGAAAAGAGGCACAAGTAAAAGAACAAGACATACCATAGGAGTCATTCTCACTGCCAGAGAAGCGGTGCGGCCTGTCTTCACAAGCAGCGACACGGGGATAAAGAAGGAAGTTAAACAACGGAAAAAGAGCTTTATTTTTGGCCGGGTGTGACAAGGCCGTGCAGCTTCTCTCCAGGTCGGGAAGTATGCCAGCTCTGAGCTTCAGCAATGGCATGTTACACCACATGCTCGCAGATGATGAACGTCCATCTTTTTTGCATGAGCCTCATCCGGCAGAGCCTCAAACTCCCCTGTGAATTACTTTTACAACCTTGCCCGTCACGGTACATGATAACATGCTCTTGACGCAACATGAAGCGGTCCTTCTCCACGGCCAGTGCACCCGGGATTTAATACAGTGCTGCTGTAATTTTAAATTGTGAACACGGGCCGGGAACTGATAATGAGATTAACTCGGTTGCACTGAGAGAAGCCACAGACAGCACTTCCATAACTCATTAAAGAAGAGTAAAGGCAGCCAGTGAATGCTGCTTGCTGTTTTTTTTTTTCCTCTGCAGGCAAGAGTCCTTACCTATGGCCAACTACAAGGAAGCCTCCTGCCCGACCTGGCAGCACTGACTGTAAAATAAATAGTTGGGCCCAGTCTCGCACCACATGCACATAATAACAATCATTCAACCTGGCTGCTAAACTGCACATCAGCGTTTGAAAACTACTGGGCTCTGCTTCTAGCCTCTTATTCAACAGCAACCCCACTTTCCCAGGCTCCATCCACAGGTGGGGAGTGACCCACTTTCTGCAGTTTGACCGGGGATTACGCAGCTTATCTGCCAGCCCTGGCTCTTCCGGGGTGAGGAGGTGGGGGTAGAAACAGAGAGAGAGTGCGCAAAGGCATAAGATCACAAATGCAGCCCTACAGCTGGAAGATCACAAGTCCGACAGCAGGACTCTGACACAACACAGGAAGCAAGAGCAGGGGGAAAAGTCCAGCTCAGCAGAAAACCTAACCAGACTCTCTACTCCCCTCTTTAGTCAGTCACTAGTAGTCCTCTCCTCTCAGCTGATCCTCTGCTCTATGACACTTCCTCTGACTCTGCTGCTCTGACTGAGAGAATACCTGATCCTGACAGCTGTAACAATACACCTGCTTCCACTGCTCCTTCTCTACGGTTCAGGCTGGGACCTGACGAATGTATCAAAGTCTCCTTCAATAAATGTGACCTAATAAAGAGAACTGAGACATAAATCATCAAAATCTCTTGCGCTAAACAGTTCACGCATTATTTGATTGCATTAACCAAGACCGAAGCATAACAAATAAAGCTAAAGCAGCTAATGATTTGTGTATCTGTGTGTTGCATAAGTGTAACAGACTAGAAATGTAAATGATTAACCAATGAACTGTTAACCAACAAACAAACAAACAATTGCTTGACCAATGCTATCTGTTCAAAAAATCATTTCCAAAACAATGAATCCCTATTTGATCAGGTGGGTTTATCATTCAAGTGGAATAACAATCTTGAATTGCACAACTACAACAACGTACCATATCCAAAAAAAATATATCTACAAGCCTTAACACAGAAAAGGAACACTTTAATTACTCTGAGCATTAATACAGGGATCAGTTATGTGCAATCGTTGACAACATCTTAGAACGTAGCTCAGCCAGTCATCTATTGGATCTGTAAGTTTCTGTTTCATAATTCATGCCTGGATGGGCCGCGTCCTTAATTTTACCTATGCTGGTTAATGATTAATCACAACTAATGGCTGTCGTAGATCTGTCACGGTCATGAAATTTTAGCTGACAATTAATTGCCATATAAATAATTGCAATTAACAATTTAATTGTCTTTTTTGTTCAGTATGTCCAACTATGAATGTACAAAGCTTAAAAGTGGTCAAACACATTAGCTACCCTGCCTCATAGCTGTCCATACTTAATAGATGCTACACGACAACAGCCACAGCTCAAGCTCAAATGAACAAACATTACTCATCACTTCTCTCTAACATGTTAGAACTTTTGTTACTGTATAAGATGCATGACGTGTTACAGCTTTCTTTTATTTACATGCATTTGCCTCAACCCAGTGGATGAAAATGTATGTTGGAACATAAACATATGAAAGGTGTCAACTGTGGAAAAACAACTGCGATCAGGCGATTATGTAACAATTGTGACAGGCCAACACAGTCAGTCATTGGTCAAAATAATTTGCCAAGATTTGCCCTAATAAGAAGAGAGGACAAAATGATTTCACTCACACTGTAGACGGCAGTGACACCAGGCTGTGTGGAGAAGATTCGTTCATCCAAGGGTGGCTGCACTCTGGGGATCCTGGGGTGCAACGCATTAAGGAAAACTCTGGAGAAGCAACTACTTAAGGCAAAACACAGCAACAAGGTGGGAAAACACACAAGACGCATGCAGGCGACAAACAAAGCTGCATAACAGAAAGACAACCAGTTATTTGTCATCATTTCATAAGAAAACAATTTTTCTTATTCTTCCCTATTACTAGGAATCCCCTCTTTGGTAACAGGCATTAGAAAGGAATGACGAGCCTAAGTCATCAGCTCACACAAAAATGGAAACTTGTGGTATACCATTACTCATTTTTTCCACCTGCTGTTGCACTTTAAATTCTCTCTCTTTCTTCCCCACTCTTGGTAAGAAAGTGTTTGAGGGCAAGCAGCCTGAGTGAACTGCAGCAGTGATACAGGCAGCCGTGTGTGCTGAGTGGACTGGAATTCACAATGTTGTCAAGACATGCCTGTTCCCATTAGTGTATAAACTGAGGGAATCGCACCGCAGCTCTCTGAGCCACAGCATGGAAGAAACACCACGTACTTGTGCAGCACCCAGGATGGTCATCCACAGATTAAGACCTCTAGACTGCATACACAAACAAAACATTTGTCTTCTGAATTATTCATTTCGGAATAATCCCCTTTTATGTCAGCCTCAGGCTCAGATGATGCACTATACTGTAAACACAAGCCCTACCGCTGGCTGGCTAGCTGAATGAATGGTGGAACATGTCCAGTAAGGCAGTGGTGGGTGAATGTGTGGCAGGCTCTTAAAGCAGCGGAGTCCCTACAGCTGGAGATGCCTCTCCCGTCTCCAGGCCAGCAGAAGCCTGAGCGCTTCACAAACAAAGTCATTGTTAGAAGGGTGGAGGAACCCTTCCTCTACTGCCGCACTTCAATCAGATTCAGGCTGCACCCAGAGAACATGAAGGATTTACTGCAACTGGATGAATACAACAGCTGGCAGCCACCGATTTCAACTTTCTCTTTGTGCTGTGCCATGAAGTCAGGGTAATAATTAAAAGCACAGGCTTACCCCAGGTCAACTCTAAAGTGCTGCTGAGTAATGTTTGCTTTTTGCCTAAATAACTACACTTAAGAAGCCCATAGAGGTTATAGGTAATTTATAGCATTACAGTGTAATTTATAACTCTAAGCTCAGTTCTAACACTGCAGACAAGGATTTTTACATCTCCTCACTTTATGTTTCCCTCCATCTCCCAGGAGCTCTTTCAAAATAACCCATGGAGGTCAATTACTACATAAATGTGTCAATTTCTAAAAAGCACTCAGCAGAATAAAGACCAGATTCCGTAATGAAAAACTACAATTATCTGATCTTTGAAGCGCCAACTATGTAACACCCGGGCAATTTTTACTCATTACACAACCACACTTTCAGAAGTCTGCTCATTTTCACAAAACAGGTCTGGAGAGGAACCGTTCCTAGAAGTGAACACAAAGTTTATCATTGAAAGTTTAATCCAATCTTGAGCATGCATGCTAAACAGCACTGTCTTTGTCAAGGGAACAAAGTGAAAGCTAAATACCAGAGCCATCACCTTACAACACCAAGAGAATTCCTCCATGCAAGTCAACTATTTTTCTGGTGCATCAGCATGTGATGCCCTTGCATAAGCACTCTCACACCTATTCATAAGACAATGCAAACAAGAACAAGAAACGAAAGAAAACATTAACGGTAAACACACTTGGGGCATCCCCTGCCCCTCTGTGGCAGACAGTCAGAGACTCAAGAGGGTTATTAACTAGATTTTCGTCAGAGTATCTCAATACACTTTGCAAGGAAGCTGATGACAGACCAGCAACCACTAAAACCAACAATAAGGCAACTTTTTGTCCTTAAATGACCCTAATGGTTGGTACAGAATGCAGAACACTGATATTTCAACACATTGGAGAAAAAAGCAAACAAATACAACACACAGCATTATTCTACACAACCAGTCTTGCACAATTACAGACTGCACCCAAAAACCAGGCCTGAATCAGAGTCAGATAAATGAGAAAAGCAAACAGAACTATGAGCAAATATGATTCCTATTCTGTTTAACCTATCTAATGTCCTGCTATCACTCTGACCTGCAAACAGCTGCAATTACTAGGGAAGGACAAAACCGATGCATATGTGTATTTCAAAAATACATTTTTGACCAAAACTGAGTAACACGACTATCCTAATACAACGTCTCAGACACCAGGTAGCCTGTTTTTAACGATTTTGTGTCATCCATTTAACTGATATAGCTTTCAGACAATGTTTCGGATGTCTGTGTCCTATCACCGCTGTTATGAAGGAGTCTGATCGCCATATTTCACATCAGCCCACTCTGAATGACTTTACAAAACGACGACACCATCACCACACTCCAGCTGAGCACAGGTCAAACCTTCCATCATCAAACTTTGAACCATTATATGTGTAAAGGTATAATAACTCTCTGCCATCAATTTACAGTCTCTCGGTATTTACAACTGAAGCCAAGAGTGGTAAATCTGATCCTTGAACAAAGACTAGCAACATTGGTTCAACGATAAACGTTTACCAAGCATAACGATATAGGTGGCCAGTCAGTGTCTGTCATCACAAGTGGCACTTTCAGCTCCCAACTACTTCAGAAAAGCCCTCTGAATACCTTCACTATATAACATCATAACAGCTGAATAGCAAACGGATCAGTCAAACGAGTCAGAGCAGACATGATGGCACTGTATCTATGAGGACAGCACTGTCCAATGAATCCCAAAAGGGATTCCAGTGGTCTGGCACGGACACAGCAAGTGTAATAGTGTACAACCCAAAAACATTCACAAACAGCTTGTACACAAGTCTGTCACCGGTCATATAAACAGTGGGCAGTCACACGTTTCCTTCACGTTTCCAGTTTCCTCAACACGCACTGCGGTAGGACAGATTGTGAAACACTGCCCTCAATTAGAAGAGGAAAGACATGGGCTCAGCCACAGCTGTTTAAATGCCGAAAGGGAGAGTGTGGCGGTTTACTGAAAAACGTTCAAAAGACGTGAACAGCAAGTGACTTTTGGCAACTTGAGGATGTCAATCGAGAGAGACAATATGGCCCTCAAAATGTTGTCTACATCCCACCCACGTCCCCTCACCTAGCTAGCTAGCTAACTTAGCCGGCTAAACGGTGAGAAAATCAGCCGGTCTGAGTCGCTATTGCTCGTTATTGATGTAAGGTTAGCAGGCTCGCTGACACAACGACGCAAACTACCGGCAAGTAAAAGAAATGACGAGGGATGTAATAATATTGGCATAGAGGCAAATGTGCGTCACAAATCGCCATAAACAGCAACAACGCGGGCAAATAATGCCCGATATCGGCGCTCTCTCTTATTTACAAGTCACACACAGGCAGCTAGCAGAGACGCTAGCTTGCTAGGCAGGGAAAGTGGTAGTTAGCTATGTGGTTAGCCTGGAATTGTGACAGGCTTTGTACGAGGATAACAACCCACTCCCCCGAAACCAAACGCTGCCCAGCTTGACAGTAATCAAACCAGCTACCAGCCAGGCTAAAATAATTATTTACCGTAGTACAAAATGTACAAGGCACTGCGATATACATAGGTCAACTCAGGTAGCTAAACCGGCTCCTGGCAACTGACAACAATCGAAACGCCTCACGTTGCGCTCAGCCGGCACCGCACACAATCAAAAAAAGGACACAAAGCGCTTCCTAACAAACCTAAATAATCACAAATAATTTCAACACAAGGGAAGAGATATGTTTCCAATGAAGGATACTGCGTTGGTGGTACCGGAGGAGGCTGTTGGGCTACCGGGGGCCCCGGCAGCGGTACTGTGGCCAGGGGAGCCCGCAGCTGGGTCGAGGGGGGCGGCCCGGTTCCAGGTCCGGTACCAGCGACAGCGGCTGGCTTCGGCACCGCTTTCGGCGGTAAACTCATTGCCAAAAAATCTAATTATACCTAGATATTTACAGTAATCAATAACTAGCTATTTATAACTAGTAGCTTAAAAAAATAACGCGCATAAAATACAGCTAGTCAAGCAAGTTGCGTCAAGATCAGGCCTTTTACAAGCAAGTTTTGCCGGTGGCGGAAAGGCTAGCTAGACAGAAAGCTTTAGCTAGCTAGCTAACAGGCTGGCTAGCTTATTGATGGAGCAGCAAGCTAACGTTAGCTAGCTAGCGCTTATTGTGGTTTATCTTCATTGCTGAAGGTAGGGGGGCTGTTCCCCCTCCCCGGTCGGGGTTTCCGAGGATCCAGTTCGTCTCTGCTTGCCAGGGCGATCTTGACGACGTGCCCTTTCTAAAATTAATAATACTTGAGTTTACAACTGCTATTTCACGAGTATCTGTCCACTGAGTAGGATGGCTTCGTTCAACATGGCGCTGCGGCCGCCTCCAGCAGTCCTACAGGACTGACGCTTCGTGTCACTTCGGATGTTTCCGACAGCGTTCGACCGGCGGAATTCCAGCGAATGAGGAACGGCCGTCGACAGTAAGTCTTCTGGCAGATCAGTAATTTTCGTAATGTACAGTTTCATATCCTAAACTTCAATGATAGTGTGCAACAAGACACACATTTATAGGCTAACGCAGTGTGGGATTACATACAATCACATAAATCTACGCCCTGACTCCTACGCAAAAATACCCATATTAATGAACACTTGCTGAGTAAATTTTCGCTTTAATTCATTGAACTTTACTAACGTGGTTGGCAATACGTTCCCTTTATTATTATATTACTGATACTCGAGTTCAATATTTATATAAATGAGATTTATATTTCTTAATGTGTCTAAAGTGTACACAATCCCACCTTATCTCTGGATTCTTACTTTCAAGTAAATAATTCGAAACCAGTCTGGATGTAACACAAGCTAGCAGTGCAGTACTTGTTCACTAAATTCCAGTCCGTGGGTCACTGAGTCTTCTGTCAGTCGGTTTAGTTCAGCACGTTAGGTGATGTTCTAGTGACACCTTGCGGCCATAAGTGGACATGCAGCTCAGATTCCAGATCCAGATCAGCTGGAAATTAAATTATATAAGAAATTAAAGTTGACTAGAGTCAAATCAAGCCAATTAATCATGGAGAATTTTATGAGCATTATTGCCGAATATGTGTTTGTTGTTAAATCTAAAAAAAAAAAACAAAGCTATAAAATACATTACACTCACTGGGCACTTTATTAGGTACAATGGATTTTGGATTTACACTCAATTCTTATTATCCACTTGCTATCTACATGCGCTTTGTAGTTCTACAATTACAGATTGTACTCCATGCATAACAGGCTTTCTTTACCTCATTCATCAATGTTCAGGGCCCACAGGACCCCCTCCGGTGTCTACTCTATATTTAACTAAAAATAATGTAAAGACAACATATCAAATGTTGGAACTGAAAAATTTTGTGTTTTTGAATAAAAATATATTCCTATTTTTAATTTGATGCCAGTAACACAATTCAAAAAAGTTGGGACAGGGGCAACAAAATAAGTAAAGTAGTAATGCTAAAAAAAAACTTGTGATAAATTGGCACTCAGGCAGCACTGCATTAAAAACAGTCGTGGTTCTGTAGTGGAAATCACTGCACCAGCTTAGAGCCCTTCCAAAAACTTTTGTCTGTGAACACAGTTTGTTGCTGCATCCACAAATGCAAGTTAAAACTCTACCATGCAAAGAAGAAACCATATATAAACAGGATCCAGTAACGCCACCAGAGCTCATGTAGGATGGACTGAAGCGAAGTGGAAAAGTGTCCTCTGGTCCGACAAATCAAAATTTAAAAATTCTTTTTCAAAATCATGGACACTGTGTCCTCCAGGCTGAAGACCATCCAGCTTGTTATCAGTGCGCAGTTCAAAAGCCAGTATTCAGAGGTGCATTAGTGTGCATATGCTGCCATCTATACAACGTCATTTTCAGGCAAGGCCTTGATTATTCCAGCAAGACAATGTCAAACCACATTCTGCATGTATTACAACAGTAGAGCTCCATAGTAAAAGAGTCTGGGAGCTAAACTGGCCTGCCTACAGTCTAGACTTGTCACTTATTGAAAACATTTGGCAAATTGTGAAGAGGAAAATATAACAAAGGAGACCCTGAACTGTTGAGCAGCTGAAATCCTATATCAAACAAGAACAGGAAACATTTCACTTTCAAAACTACAGCAGTCGGTCTCCTCAGTTCCCAAACTACTTAGAGAGTGTTGTTAAAAGAAGAGGTGATGAAATACAGTGGTAAACACACCCTCTTCCCCACTTTTTTGAAATGTGTTGCTAGCATTAAATTCAAAATGGGTAAATATTTTTCAAAAAGCAGTAAAATTTCTCAGTTTCAACATTTGATATGTTGTCTCTGTACAATTCTAAATTAAATATAGGGTTTAAATGATTTCCACATCATTGCATTCTATTGTTTATTTATATTTTGCACTGTGTCCCAACTTTTTTGGAAATGGAGTTGTATTTGTTTGGTGGATCATTGTCAGCACAGGGATAAAGAGAGGCTGTAACTGATCATGTAAAAATGCATAAAGACTGTTTTTGGTACATAAAACTATAGAAATGTCAAAAGTGGACATCAGAGAGAAAAATAAAATACAAGAAAAAGTGTTTGATATGGACCCCTAACTATTTGACTGATAGTGCCCCCTTCTGGAGATTTAGCCTGCTGAACATGAATGAGTGAGAGTGAGTGAATGCTAACAGAGATACAGTAAATTCTTTTACCATAGTTCCAAATGTCAGTCCTGGCATCTCCTCACTATGCATATTTTTGTACTTTTCCTTGTCTAGCACACCTGATTCTACTCATTAACCACTTAACAAACTTCTCATATGGTGGATCAGATGTATTAGGAGTAGGGAACTCACAAAAATATGCAGAGTATGGGGCAGGGCTAGTTTTGGGATCCACTGACAAGCCTGGTAATGCTCTCGGATTACCAGTAGAGGGCAGTTTGGAAACAGTAAAGCAGTGAGTTTCCTTTGTCAAACAGTCAAATTTGCAAAATAGCAAATAGAAATAAGCAAACTGATTTCAAATAAAGTTCAGTTTAGTTTTAATAACAATGAAGAAAATGAATTATGTTTTAAAGTGTGTGTTATAAAAAGTGTTGACAAAAAAAGTTTTTCAGAGATATACAGTGGATCATTTAGGACAAATGAAATAACACAAACTATAGAGCTGTTATAACAGAGCTTTGAAAAAGTAAAGCATATTTACAATAGCAAGTGCACATAAAAACTGTTTAGCAAATGCAGCCTGCAACTTGATGCACATCTGTGCATCATATTTCTGTACTTCTGTGTTGTATATAAACAAAAAAGTAAATGCACAACAGAAGCATCCCTCTAAAACTTGTTCAGCAACCAGAAGTGTCCTCGTGAGACATGTTCAGCATCCAGTACAAGCAGCATATGCACAAATCTCACAAACACCAGAGCGCCTGGCAAGAAGTGCTGCAGGAAGCATGACAAGAAATCATTCATGTCCAGTAATTTACAAGAATACTTTCAGGAAAAAGGATATGTTGTTATTATCAGGAAGAGAATCAATGTAAGTAAACAAACATGGACTTCTGATATTATTATTGCTGTTTTCTGTGGAACATCCTCATCATTGTGTTATCTGTGTGCTGCATGCTTACCAAGTCTGGAGAAAGAAGCTCTTGCATGTTTGCTTTGGCACAGAGGCTCAAACTCTTTAGGAATGACTGGGTTTTTGCACACCGCCATCACCTTGTTTATAGCTAGACGATTGTACTGGTTGGCTGGGATATCTTCAGCCATGATGGCCCAGAGTTTTTTCACTGACTCTAGTGAGAAAGAGAATTCTCCTTCCTGAAGAAAGAGAAAAGCGTTTACAGTAAAATATTAACGTTTATGCACCTGGTTCCAAGGCTTTGTGTTTTACATGTTTATATGTCCAGAGGTGGAGAGAATAGCCTAAACCAGAAGCCGGCAACCCAAATGTTAAGAAGAGCCATTTTGCCCTTTATCAAACCACCTTAGGAGCTACAACATCTTATGTCCATTTTATCATCTTGGCTGTAAATATGCCCCAGTATGTGCTAATGTGCTAGTATAGGCTAAAAATATAAGCGAAAACGCAGACTTACTTTGCTCTTTAGCTCAGCTATAGCTGCTTTTTTTGCATCTCTGGTCAATGTCAAGCTTGTAACAATAGAAGAACCCTTTTTGGCAATACACACTACCATTTTCAAAAAGGTTCTATATAGAACCATATACAACACATTCTCCACCAATTTGAAAAACCATTTCACCACACAGAGAGTCATTTAAGCATGAAATGGTTCTATATAGAACTTATGGTTCTAAATAGAACCTTTTCCTTTACTAAGGAACCCTTGAAGAATCATCCTTTTGAAGTGTGTAGTAATTCATCTTCTAAGCTGCTTATCCTTCTGGGTCGCGGGGGAGCCTATCCCAGCAGTCATTGGGTGGAGGGCAGGATACACCCTGGACAGGTCACCAGTCCATCGCAGGGAGTGCGTAGTAATGTTTGATTTAAAGATGTTGCAGGTTTGTATTGCACAATAGTAGTAAATACAATCATGATGTTAAATACTTACTCGAACAGTCACAGCTTCTGAGTTTAGGCTGAAGACCAGAATCAGTAGGATTGTGGGCAATAACATCTTCATCTTTTGTTTAGCCTGTAGCGCATTCTCAAGTCGTCGTGTCCTCTGCACTTTCTCACTCTCCTTTTAAAGTTTCCTCTCTGTTCCTTATCCTCATTTTATGGTCTCCTCTCTCGTTAATGAACTCCAAGACAATTTACAACAGTAATGACTATTGTATTGTTGCTCTGGGAGAGACAAACAACGTGATTCAGCAGTGTTTACCAGGCATTCTAAAGTAAAACTTTGATAACTGATTCATGGGGTGTCAGATTTGAGTTCTGCCCAGCTTCCTGCACACAGCCAGTCCAGTGCAAAAGTCAGAGACCACTTTTCACTGATTTGATTCCCTGTCAATACCGCCATTAAATTAATTTTTCAAGTTATTCATTTTTCAGGAGAAATTTCTGATGAGATTAGATGAGGGGAAATGCAAGGGAAAGTAAGCAAAAAACAGAGTTCAAAAAAACGGAACTCCTTAGAACTTAAAGCTACGGATGTGCGGCTGTTAAGAAGCTATTACTGAAAAACAGAAATAGACTAAAAAGGAAGAACATTTACAAATCAAACAGATAAGCTGCAAGTGTTACAGTGGACTGGCCAAACCAGAGCCCTGATGTCAACATCAGTGAGTGTGTTTGGGATTACTTGGATTGTGCCAAAATATGAGGCCGCAGAGCCTGGGACAGCAGAGCTGACCTGTGGTACCATTGAGATGACAGCTGAAGCACAGGAGACCACAGAGACTGCCAGAGGAGGAACAGGACCCTCTGTAGGACATTAAGGACAGAAAAAGAGAAGGGAGAAAGGAAACAGACGCAAAGATAGTACTGAACCGTTAGTTGCCACAATCTCAGACATAAAGGTATGAAACTGTCGCTGGGGCGGTACCCTCAGCGGTGCATCTCAGTACCTTTAGTCAAGGAACATAATTGTACCATAATCCATTGAAATTATATTTTCTAAGATGTATTGACTCCACACACCCCGTGTCGTCTCCAGGCTTTGTATTTTATTGTTCTGTTTTAAAACATTAGTTTATAAAAAAGGTACAAATACATACTTTTCACTTGGAAAAACATATTTAAGGTACACAGTTGGACCTTAAAACCGCTGTTGTACCTTTGAGGGAACATTTACATTGTTTGTACCTTGATAAAAAAAAATGTACCTGCACAGAACCTTTATTTCTAATAGTGCAGGTGCAGCTTTACTGGGACCCGATCTGGACTGCAACTAGGACTGAAGCAGGCATGGTTGGAGGAGCTGGAGCACCCAGGATCAGGCTGCCAAAGCCTCCACCTCAGACTTCCCTCAGGCTGGAACCAGGCTTGAATGGCAGATGTAAGCTGAAACTGGAGGCAACAGAGCGTCTGGAGCTGGAACAAACCAATAACTACAACTAAGGTGCATGAACCAGGAACTGCTTGCCTTTGATGACCAGAATAAAATCTTCACCGAGGCTACCAAGCAAGACAGGAATGTACATTGGCAAAGGTTGTGCAAAACATGCAGGGAAAAAATTGGTCAACATGCCCCTTCTGGACGTCCTTGTCTGATAGACTGCTAAATTTAACCTGGAAAAGGGCTGTGAAGCAATGAATAGTCTTAGTTTCAGTACCCATTTGCTCAGTACTCCATGAGCTACCCCACTTATGAGCTCTGTCTGTAAATTAAGACATGATAATGGCTGATAACTTTTTCAGGAAGAGGTGTTTCTACTAGATAGGGAAAAGGAACATTAAAGGAGGAAATCCGTACATCGACTGGGAAACTTGTCGCATTTACTAGCAGGATGACTGTAAAGGAGGCACGCCTACTTCTGGAAGGCTGGACAACTCACCAGAAGCCTGCATTAATTTCCTGGACACAGAGGTACAAGGAACTAGATACTGGGATAAAATTAGAAAACAGGAAATAAGGCTTGTGTGCTGGTAACATTAGCAAGACTTCACAATAACTTAAGCAATTGAGGAGTCCTAATGAGTCAATGAAGGAGGAACAGCTGTAAGTGCTCATGAGTGCTTATTCACCCTACACTATCAGAAAAAAGGTCACTGAGGTGGTACCCTCAAGTGTACATCTTCAGTACGTTTAGTTGGGGAACATAATTCTACCATAATCCACTGAAATTTGATTTGAGTATTGACTCCACATCCCCTTTCTCTCCAGCCCTCCAGCCATTAAAAGGTAGAAATATGTACCTTAATTACAGTTGTGCCTTAAAACCATTGCTGTACCTTTAAGTGAGTGTGTTTGTGTGTGATTGTCTATGTCTGTGTGTTTGCCCTATGATGGACTGGCGACCTGTCAAGGGTGTTTCATGCCTTACGCCCAATTAGTGCTTGGATAGGCTCCAGCACCACTCGTGACCCAGGAGGATAAGCGGCTTAGATGATAAGTGAGTGAAAGAGAGTGTTTCTTACAGGGGTGGGGAACTGAGGGCCATGTTCAGCACAGTTTGGTAATGTTTCTGCTCTAGCACACCGATCAGACCTGGTAATTAACTGTTGAGTTAAATCAGGTGTGCTTAAGTATGTAAATGATCACCAAACTGTGCAGGAATCTGGCCCTCCAGGACCTGAGTTCCCCACCCCTGGTTTATATCAGTGGTTCCCAGCCCTGGTCTTGGAGGACTACATGCCCTGCACATTTTAGTGTTTGTCCCGCTCCCAACACACCTGATCCAATTAACGAGCCCTTTCTGAATTGAAGTGGGTAAATTTGGGCAGGAAAACACAAGGGCAGGGGGTCCTCCAGGACCAAGGTTGAGAACCACTGGTTTGTAAGATAGAGAAGCTGCTGGTTTAACTACTTGGTTAAGTGTTGTTACCCCAGGTTAAGAACCGCTCATTTAGTACATGGGGAGCCTTTGGGGATGCTTGATATTTTCTTTTTATGGTGCTTACTGCAGTTATGCATTCTACCTTTTCTTCTTCTATAAAATTTAAAAATTATATGAACATTTCTCAAACAAACAAGGAGAAATCGCAAAATGCAATTTCTGATCCCCGTTTAAAGCCCTAGCATAAAGGACTTATTTTTTATTTACTTATTTTTTTATTTTTATTTTTTGCTTTGACATGACATGGTTAAGGAACTGACCTGTTGAATTGGTGTCACCAGCTTATGTAGTGAATTAAAGCATACAGGTAATCAGACTAAATTTGGAGAAAGTTCAGCAGAATAGTTTATTATTTTGAGGCATGTGCATGCACTCATATCACATTAAAAAGCACAGAGCTGTTTTCAGAGCAATTTTCCATGTCACCTCTGACAAAATGTACAGACAGCCATTTAGAATATAAACATGAGCCACTCTATAGTCATGTCTCAGGCCTGAAAATCTGACTAAATTACATGACAGAGCTGAAGTCAGGATTCAATATACAGTTGTATGCAAAAATTTGAAGACCCCTGGACAAATGACATTTCAGTGAAAATAGATGAACACATTTTCTACAGAGTATAAAGTTAAATTTGACATTTTTCTTCCATTTTCTGGTGCACAATTTCAATTTATTTGCTAAATTTAACATATTGGAAAAAAACATAAAACATTAATTGTACCTTTACTTTAGCACAGGCCACATTTTCTGTTTATTTTTCCCCAATATGTTAAATTTTGCAAAAAAGCAGTATTTGTTTTACAGTTTGCAGGAGTGCTCGCTCTGTAAAGGTTTGTAGTCATTTTCACTTAAAAACTCAACAAAATGCAACTTGACTGGGCCAAAGTTTGTGTAGGACCTTATATTATAAAGGCACTTATAAGTTGTCATTCAATTAAGAACGTATGTGTCTCTACCTGAGCTTTGTGTGATTAAAGATATGTTTGCTAATAAATTCGATAAACGATCACCCTGGTGAAGTATTTATGCAGCAAAATCAAAATCATTGAAGCGTGTTCTTAGTGGGAGGCATTCATTTCGTGTCAGTATTACCACACAAATAAAAGAGCCTTTTATCATTAGTTTACATGTCTTTAAATCCAATGACAGTACCATGTCCTTCTTCACATAAGAACCACTGATTTCCTTAGTTGGTGAAAATAGGTTTGTTCGCTATTCGCATCACTTTGTACGTGTTTAGACCAGGGGCATCAAATCCAGGTGTGAGGCCCTTCTTGTTAAAGCTGTAAAAGTTAAACAGCTGTCTGTCCTGAGACTCCATTGAAACAGAAGCGGTATTGACTTTCAGCTGACATGGGTACTCCTTCTCAAACACCACCTGGAACACCCTTTCCTCCAAATAACTTAACTTCCAAGTCCTGTACTTCAGAGGCACCATTGCATCCACCTCTGGCCCAAACTGCTGCATGGACAGCACCCCTTCTGACCCAGCTTTGATCTCATAGAAGGTCATGTTACTGTAGGTAAAATAGCCCACATAGGGAGCCGAATCAGGAGGAGGGATAAGGACGCGAGGTGCGTCTCTGAAGGCACTCTCCATGGCAGGGACGAGGTAACTGTAGGCCTTGGTCACAAGGTCCGTGTTGGCAGGCTTGGTCCCAGCCATCAAAATGACTAAGCCCAGCTTTAGCCGTGGCACAAGAGAGAGGGAGGCGGAATAGCCGTCCAGATCTCCGTCTTTACGGATAATCTGGTACTCCAGCTGGTCATATACCTCCCAAGGTGTGCCCGTTTGGTTTGCAAAGTAGGTGCTGTCACAGCGGAAGAGAGGTGTCAGCATGGTCTTAAGGGTGTCGTCCCGGAGGATTCTGCGGTTATATGCACCCAGCAGAACCATCACCAGTTTGGCCATGTCTGCCACAGTGGAATACATCTGTCCAGAGGGCCGGTACCAGCCGAGGTCGTAGAGGGGCGCAGGCTGTCCACTCGAGTAAACTCCCACTGCCATCTGGCGCTCTGTGTCTGAGGTGATGTCAAAGCTGGTGTCCTCCATGCCTAATGGCTGGAGGATATTTTTGGTCACCCAGCTCTGGTAATCGGTTCCTGTCACCTTTTCTGCCATAACGTGGGCCAGCAGGGAGAAGGCCAGGTTACTGTAGTGGCATCTGGGGATAGAGAGGAGGAAGGGATACCTCTGTCAGAGAAAGCGCACTCTAGTGCACTGGAGATCGAAGCTTGCGGAAAAAATATACCATTCCTAATTTACCACACCTGATCCAGCTAATCTAGTGTTTTCTGGAGCTTCTGAATGTTACAACCAGGTGAGTAACTGTAGATTACGGTTTGAAATAAACTGTGCCAGAAGGTAGATCCCACTTGGAACCTTGCACATGTGTTGCTTGTACTTTCAAGTGTTTAATTATAATTCCATGTTCATTGTTCATCATGGCCAAAGTTAAGGACTGTGAAGGGCCAAACATGCCAAATAAAAAAGAAATTAGTAAATAAATATATGAATAAATTGTACATAGGACAAAATGTGGCAAAATAAAAAAAAATGAATGACTGATACATAAATAAATAACAGTAAAAAAAGCTATAACATTAAACCACCCCCTTGTTCCTACACTCACTGTGCATTTTATCAGCTCCACTCACCATATAGGAGAATAGTAGTTCTACAATTACAGACTGTAGTCCATCTGTTTCTCTGCATACTTTGTATACATATACCATTTTCCCCATTTCCTCAATGGTCAGGACCTCCACAAGACCACCACAGAGCAGGTATTATTTGGGTAGTGGATCATTCTGAGCACTGCAGTCAGTGTCCACTGTTTTAGACACATTTACCTTTTGGTTCATCATGTAGATGCAAAGTCAGAGACAGTAGCGGTTTAGCATCTGTAGCCTCTAAATAGTTACCTAGTTATCTAAATATAACTAAAAAGAACTCTAATAAATTCACACTCTTAAAGAAGTTCTTTACAAATATTTCATCTCATCGAATATTAACTGATAAGTGTGTCCAGCTGATAAGCTGTGTTAGATGAGTGAAAAGGCAAAAATGTACAATAAATGCAGAAAATACAGAACTGCTGTGTCACACAGTCAGTTACTTACTTTGTTCCCGGGTCTGCCACAAGAACATCGTCCTGCAATAAATCAACTGCAGTCTGAGTTTGGCCGTTCCAGAGCAGAGTGGTCCCTCTGAGTCGCCTGGGTAACCCTGCAGTCAGTGGTATATTATCTTAGACACCTTGCAGTACAAGCGGTAATTTCATTCTGGTATGTTAACAATGAATTGTCCTGTCCAAACATTTAATATAGCTGGAAAATAAAACGTAATGCTAAATTTATCACCTGGAGTGATTTCATTTTCACACCAATCTGGTCAGTGCCATTATTGCTAGCATGACAAGTGAGCACTTGCCCAGACTAAGCTCGCTGAATGTCTGTTAAGGACATTGGCAGGCTAATTTTGAACCACATGCTGAACCAGTCTGAGAGGATCCTGTTCTGTTATAATGTGTTTTCAGGTGGCAGAGCTGATTACAGCAAGCGCAGTGACTCCACATTTAGAAACGCTTTATCTAATTTCAGACCTCACCTTTCACATTTGTATATTTATAGCAACTACAGCACACTTTTATAATCAATTCAATGAGGTCAGTCAGCTCTTTTGTGTCTAGTGCCAAAATCTGTGTTAGGTAACAGTTTTGTGGTCAGTGTGGCATTCAGTACTGTGCAAAAGTTCAAGACCACCTTCATGTATTTAAATTCCAGTCAAGTTATTTATTTTTCAGGAGATGTTTCTGAAGAAAAAACAGGTATAAAACAGGACTTCTAACCACTGTGCAAAACACTCATTGACCACCAAAACTGACACTATCAGATACATAGTACTAAAGGCTTTGATCTTTGAGAGATGGGAGAAAATCAAGCTCCACTCTTGTTCAGATCTGAAAAATCCACAAGTTTCTGTCCATCATTCCACAAAATACAACTTAATGCTATGAGTCTGAAAGGATCTCTAGCTTTGAATAATCTGTTACAGAGAAAAGGAAATAGACAAAAAAGAAGACAGTTTGGAAATCAAACAAAGAAGCTGCTGGTGTTCTCAGAACAATGGACTGGCCACTCCAGAGTCCAGATCTCAACATCACTGAATGTGTTTGGGATCACTTAGTTCATGAGAGGTAGAAAATCCCACCAGCTTCTAAGACTCGTGGACACACTGAATACTTGTTGTATATATTTTTGTTAAAAACATGTTTTCTGCTTCTTTCTTGATGAAAAATGAAAAACTCATACTTAATGACTGTTTGGACTGAAAATGAAAGAATTGAATGGTGGTGTCTGATAGGGACGCATCAATATGAGAACTGTGGGCTGATATCAGACATTTTTCATGTACATATCTGCTGATACTGATATATGAACATTTCTTAAATGTAGAAAAACTAGATCCACTTGGATGAGCATTACAGAGAAATGTAACACTTGTTTGTAGAGAGTCAAAAAGGCGAGTAAATGAATAAAATGCAGATATTTTAGGAAAATATGCCAACATCAACTAAATATTCTGCTCTTCTAGAGTACAATAAATATGTCATCAAACATCAGTTTGAAATATGAGTCAAATCTAAACACCTGGCTGATGCCAATAGTTATCTGCCCATAACAACATGAGTCTGATATCATAGTGTATCCCTAATCTCTGATGCATCAGGGTACTACACTTAAACAAGGAATGCATTGAATTAACTTGATTAACTTAATTGTGCATCATTGACACAGAAAAAAAAATATCAATACACATTTCTCCTTCATTCAACTTACTTTTGATGCAATATAATTTGTTTATGTGGAAATGATTTAAACATTCAAATAATGTAAATGCAATGTATTACATTGAATTCAATGCATCACACTTCAGTGTACAAACTAGTGTTTTTCCTGCTCTAACACACCTGCGTCAACATATCAAGTAATTATCAAATCCATAATGAGCAAAATCCAGTGGGATAAAGCAAGAGAATACAAAACAATGCAGTGCTTGGGTCCCTCACGACCATGATTTAGAAGCACTGGTGTAGGAAACTCAGGACTGACCTGACAGTTGACTGGCCATCCTTCTGAGAGTGACAGAGGGACCACGGACCGGCATCTCGCCTCTGCTCCTGGACACCCGTCTATCTGGGAGAGGCTTCAGCTCTGGATCCCCCTCTTTCCCAAGAGGATTCTTTATGGTGAAATTCTTCACATACTTCCCCAGAGGGTCATCCAGAGAGCTTATGTCGCCGTCCTCCCACAACTTATACAGCATCAGAGTGGGGAAGATCTTCGACAGACTGGCAATTCTGGGATGTTAAAATGTGTGAAACTGTGCGTTACAGGGACTGCACACACTCTCTGTAATGTTCATGGGTTGGAGATACAGTTTTAGGGAAAAAAAACTAGTTGGTACATTATGTGGAAGGTTCTTTAAACTTTAAAAAATGTTCTGCACACTTGCACATCTCACTTTCAAAGCACCATCCACTGTAAGGTTCTTTAGGGAACCAAAAGGAGTTTTTAGAAGTTGGTGTAGTGTAGTGGGTTATGCTGCTGCCCTTCACACAGCAGACTGGGGATTGATCAGACAGGCACACCATACTATGCCAAAACTATGCCTTGGGAAAGACTCCTAACCCTACATTTATCTCCCTCTGTAACATGATAAAATCTTGCTTTGAACAAGTGCATCTGCTACAAACAGTTGTGAGCAAAATTCTGAATATTCCTGGTTGTGTTACATTTTGTTGTTTTGTGAAGCTTAAACATCCTCTACAGAGAATAAACATATGTTTATATGGCATTTTAATGTAATTTTTAGCACACAATTTCTATTTTTTTGTTAAACAATTTTTTCCCCAACATTAAATTCAGGAAACAAACAGCACTTGCTTATTACAATGTGCAGAAGTGTGTTCTCTGTAGAGGATGTGCTAGATTTTTTTCTTATTTTAACAATATATGTACTTTAAAAAGGGTTGCTCACACTTTTGCTGTAACTGTAAATGGTCTTTCTGCTGCTGTCGGAGCAAAACCTTGTGTCTCCAAAATGGTAACTCTACAGGAGATGGAAAAACATGCTTTACTTTTAATGTAAGTCAATGGTCAAAGTTTTTATTCCAGGTAATTTTGAGCCATTTCTTTTGGCCCATTCACTACCAAATGTACACACAATTTAAATGCCAACAGCATTTTCAAATTGTCAAAAACTGAAAAATGACAAAAATGGAGAAGGTTTTGCTCCGACAGCAGTGTTTTACAATATCGCTCCAAAGAACGCTTTTAGGCACGTCTATCTTTAAGAATGAATATACTACACATGAACCCTGACATTTCTTAAAGTTTCTGGATCTAGTCTAGATCCGGATCAAAACTGTACCACTGATTAAGGTTATGAAATTCAATCAGTAGTTTAGCCCAGTGGTTCCCAACCTTGGTCCTAGACCCTCTGCCCTGCACATTTTAGTGTTTGTCCTGCTCCCAAAACAACTAATCCCCTTCCTGGGTTAAAGTGGGCAGCGTTCTCCAAGACCATGGTTGGGAAGCACTGGTTTAGCATATGACAATGGAATGAGAATCCATATGATGTACAGCAAAGCACACATGAGAGCTAACTGATTTTATAGTTCCTCACCTGTAAACTGTGTACTCATTTGGTGGAGGAGACGTTGGGTCACTGGCATTTCTTCTACCGAAGTTTCCATTCCACAGTACAGAGTCATTATATATGACGATGGCTGAGATCGCTGGCAGTCTTGTTGTGTCAATGCTGTTCCTCAATAGAGCATCCACCTAGACAGGAATAGGTTTATTACTGCTGATCAACCTGATCATAATGCTTTTCAAATGTTATTGAACGAACATGGAGTATTTATTTACAGTATTGTACTGAGATTAGATGAATGTAATAAATCCCCTTCCTACTCTACAGGGCAACAAAAAACAGTCTGGAGCAAGTTATTGATCCACACACAGCGAATCTGCTGGGATGTCTTTCTCATGGTTTGTTGTCAAACACTATGGCCTGACCTTTTCCAGAGCCTCCATGAGGACAGGGATGGGGTGCTCCAGTGGTGCAGGCTCTGGGAAACGCGGGCATAGCTTTTCCTCTTTTAACTCGTGCATTATCGTTTCAGCCTCTGAAACAAACATGAGAAGATGTTTATTGTAAGAAGAGGAATCTGCAACATCAAGAGGTAAAGGAAACGAGACGTTTAAGATGAAAGGCTCAAAGATTTCTACTCAGGACTGTGCAAAAGTCAGAGACCCCCCTTTTTTATTTCCAGACAAAATGGCCATTCAAGTTATTCATTTTTCAGCATCAGGAAAAAAGCAACAAACATGTATTAAACAGATAATAACAACATCAACAACTAATTATAATGTAATTTTTAGTTTGTCCAGCATTTTCCTTTATTACAGCTTCCATTCTTTTGGGAGACTTGCTTTCTGTTTTTCAAAGAAATCTGCAGGAATATTGTAGCATCCCGTGGGAGACATGGCCATGCAAAGTGGCCATGCAAAGTGACTCTCAGGAGGTGCTGGGCTCCCATTAAGGAAAGAGAAAGACATTTGTTCTATTACTGTTGTTGTGGACGTTATTAGTGAGGCAGTGTTAACTGTGCTACTCTGTGCTGGGCTGTGGGTTAATTGGTGTCAGTGTTATATACATAAAGAGAAAGTGTATGGCTAAAGTGACCTGCCTGCTATCCTGGCTGCTTGAATAGCACTGACCGGCGGTCCTCCCTTGCTGTCAGTTCAATAAAAGAGCATTTGCCTGCATTCCTAATGTTTCCCTCTGGTTCTTCATGTCTAGATGCTACAATATTTTTTCCACACTTCTACAATATTCCTGCAGATTTCTTTGAAAAACAGAAAGCCTCCTGAAAGAACAGACACTGTAATAAAGGCAAAAGGTGGACACAATAAATACAGAAAAAAACATTATATTTAGTTATTGAGGCTGTTATTTTCTGTTAAAGTTCAGTCTTAGAAGTTGGTTGCATGTTTTGCTTCTCTCTATTCAAGTACTCTCAAACACAGTTGGTGATGTTGAGGTCTGGGGTGGTCAGTCTATTTTTCCGAGAACATCTGCAGCTTCTTTGTTTGATTTGCCTATTTTCTTTTTTTCAGTGAGTTCTTCTTGGCAGCTACACATCCTTTCAGACCCATAGCACTGAGTTGTTTCCTCACAGTAGCAAGATGGACAGAAACACATGGATTGTTTCAGATCTGAAGCAAGAGTGGAGCCTGATTATCTTTTGTCTCTAAACTTTGAAAGCTTTACATACTTTTTATTAATGTTTTGTTTATATTAAAATTTTTTGTGGTCTACCAGGTCTTGCATGGTTGCCCAGTTCTCTGTTATGACTAGAAATTAAATAAATGAAGCTTTTGCACAGAACTGTACGATTATGTACACCGACTGTTGAATTTGTTAGACACACTACATTGTCCTGTAGAGTTTAATAGTCCAGAAAATATCAGTTTTCTTGCAAAACTCATATATCATTATCATATAAGTGACTTGCTTTTACCTACAGAACAACAATGCTGTAATGTAATCAGGACATTCAGTCATATTTTTTTCTTTAGGCTGTTATCATAAAATATTATTATCACATTTACAGTTATTTAATGCACTGTGGCTGTGGAATGGAGTGGAACATTAGGGTGGGTACTCATCATAATATAGTCTTTTATGTTCATTCTGCGCCCCCCTCCCCCAAAGTGATAATCAGGCTTTACAGTGCAAAGTAATCTGTGAGCCACTATGTCAAGCTTTGTGTAATCCCCAGGCTTCCCCCGCAAACGATCAATTAAGCATAAGGAGATCAGAAAGCCAAATGTACAAATGTACTTGCAGGCATTAAGTGCACTGTAAGCACCTTTTTCAAATGTCATGCTCCACTTCAGGCAAAGTGAATTCCATATTTGCCACTGAGAGTAAATATGACTTTCGAAATGAGATACAAACATGAATATTATGGAACTATTGCTGATGTAGACAATCACTTTTTCACCCTTACCTGGTTTTGCTTTGGGAAGCCTGTACTGCCATATGAAGCAGCCAGTCATGACAAGAGACAGCAGCAAAAAGAAGACCATGCCTAGTTTGGTCCACTTGACCTTCATACTGAAAGATGGTTGTATGTCCACCGGTCTGGCAGGCCAAAGAAAGACTACGTTAAGCAATATCACTAACTTCTTCACTCCTGCTATGGTAACATTGTCAGTTATGAGCTATATTCCACTAGCCAATGATGTTCAGCCAATGATGTTCAGTTTATTTCAAGAACAACATATTTAAACATGAGAAGCTCCAACCAAAGCCACAACGCTTATTATTATTTTACACCACTAAAAACATGGTTCTTCATGGGTTCTTCAGTAAAGGCAATGGTTCTATATTGAACCACATATGCTTAAATAGTTCTTTGCATGGTGATGGAGCATATATTGTATATGGTTTTATATGAAACCTTTTTGGAAATGATTCTGTATAGCACAAAAAAGGGTTCTTCTATTGTTACAAGCTTGACATCATAACAATAACAGAACCCTTTTTTGGTGCTATACAGGCATTTTCAAAAATCTTCTGTATAGAACTAGACACAACATGTTCTCCATTAATTTGAAGAATGATTTCACCATGCAAAGAACCATTTAGCCTGCAAAGACAAACCATTTTTAAGTGTCACAGGTTGATCATTATATCAGTGTATCTTACCTTAAAGAATGTTCTGCCGAGGCGCTCAAAAGAAGAGGTTCCCCCTCATCATGCAGTTCTCCTTAGTTGTATCTCACCAGACAATTCCACCTCTCAGGCATTCTCATACTCAGGCAATATCATTCCAGCTAGCAGGCGAGAAACTCAACCTGCGTTTACTATTTGCTCACCAGTTGTGGTGTAATCCCAACCTTTCCCTGTCGTCTCAGTGTTAGTCCCACCAACTGTAGGCCTACACGTCATAATCTGGAGATATCCTCCTCTAACGCCTCGCACCTTACACCCACTGAGGGGAATCCTTTTTACAAATCAATTCTACCTATCCAGTGGACCATTGCACGGCTTATGTATATAAAAGTGTGTAATACACTTACACAAGCTGCGTATTCTGAGTGTAAAATAATAACCTATGTCACATGGGTCTTTTTACCCCAGCAACAACAAGCTAACAGTTGGTGTGCTGATTGAGAGATCAGACGCTGCTGTTGCTGACCATGTTCTTAACTAAAGTACAGCATATTACAGGGGTGACGTGGGGATGTGACATCATGTATATAACTACAGAACAACAAGATTCCTACTTTCAGAATAATTTGTTTCTTTGTGGCCTGAAAGTGCACCCACATTGGTCATATTTCATCAACCCCTTAAAATCCCAGGCTTATTACATATTAAAGGCTTATTATTCAGTAACTACAGGCACTTCAGTGCAAACTGGTTGAGCTATTTATCAACAAGACTTTTCTGATTGTAATAGGAGGTGTGTGATGAAAGTACACCGAATCTTACACTTACACGTTACACGTTACACATTACACGTTACACGTTAATTAAAAGATTAACCAACAAAGTCTAGTCTACCTCAGTCTTAGAAAGTCTATCTCAGTCCTAGAAATAAATAAAATTGGGACTTTATAATTTTGTACTTTATAATTTTGTAATTTCAATTAATGACACTCAAAGAGAGTCTACCATTTTGAGGACAGTGAGATAAAAGGCTTTCTGCTGCTATATTCTCTCCCACCACTTTGCTCAGAAGAAAGAAAATGCCAGCACCCATCCACATGCCAGCACCCATCCACATGCCAGCACCCATCCTCCAAGCCTGGCAGCCTCATATGATGGGGGTGTCCCAGCTGGCAATTAGCAATGACCAAAATCAGGGGAAAAAATGAGTAAAAAGAAATTCAATTTTGAAATTTTCAGATGCAGAAAATATTATCGTCTCTCAGAAAAATCATTAACATGGTCAAATGCTTTATCGCCATATAATAATAATAATAATAATAATAACATCTTCGTTTATAGAGCACTTCTCATGCTGGTGGCAGCTCAACAGATCCACAGTTCAGAAGCATAATAACAGAAATAGGCCTCTCCGTGTTGTCTGTATTTTACAGAAGGTATTTGCAGAAGGCCAGCATCTGCAGATCTAAGATTACGTGTTGGAGCATAAACAGACATTCCGTGAGGTAAGCAGGTGCTTTAAGGTCATCTAGTGGCAGAACCTTAAATCTATCCTAAAAGACACAGGTAGCTAGTGCAGTTCTTTCAAAACAGGAGTGATATGAGCTCTCTTTTTTTAGACAGACGGCTGCATTCACTCTCATTTCCAAAAATACTTCTTTAAAAAATGACCCATTGAAAGGTTATTTGGTGAGCCTAAAGTGCTTCTTCTGTGGCATTGCTCCAAAGAACCTCTCATGGTTCTTTTCTGGTTTATGGTTCTGTTTGGCACCTGTATTTTTAAAAGTGCACAGAAAAATATTTTCACTTTCATTTATAATTAAAGTTCTTTGTATTGTTTATTTAAAAAAAAAAGTGGTGCTCTATGACCAAAAGACCAGAATTAGTATGATGAATGAAGTAATTATAAACTCTTCCCTTAGGCTCAGAAAACATATGGGCCTAAGGGAAGCACAACGGCTTGAGAGAATTTTTGGACTAAACTAAGAAGCTGAGTTAGCTGAACTCCAACACCATGAATTTGAGTTAAGTCAGCAAATCTGTGAAGTATGTTATTTATTATTATTTTTAACAACAAATAAACATAAACGTTTGAGATGATTGAGATGAGTTTTAATGGGAATTCCAGATTTGAGTAAAAAAGCATATGAAGTCAGAACCTGATACCCTTTAAAGTAACAGACAGATGTAGAAAGCAGAAAATGAAACACGACCTATGGCATTCGCACAAGAAAACTATTCTTATGGATAAACACCTTCCTTTTCTCCAGGTTCTTTTTCTTATAAAGAAAGAAAGAATGTGTCAGGTGTGACATAGAATATGTGCCTGTCCTACATTTCATAAGCCACCTGCCTGTGTTTAAAGACGCTGCTGTCTGTGCTTCTCTCTGCACTCAGCTCTGCTGTAAACAGATGGCAGCAGACTGAATTATTTACAGGAGCTGTAAATCAAGAGGTAATGAGCCTGAAAGAAAAATGTCTCTGTTTTCTCTTTTTATCATTTAATAAACATCAATCTCAAATATTTTCGCAGCTCCAGCCTTTTACTGAAATGGTAATATCCATGACTGATGAGCCTGAAGAATCTTTCTTCAGAGTTTATTGCAAAATAAGAGTAAGAAGTCTTTTGTGGTTATGGTTATTATATTTTGTAGGTTTTAGTCTCTCTCTCTGTCTCTCTCTATCACCCTTGGCTTTGTATATACACCGATCAGGCATAACATCATGACCACCTCCTTGTTTCTACCCTCATTGTCCGTTTTATCAGCTCCACTTACTATATAGGTGCACTTTGTAGTTCTACAGTTACAGACTGTAGTCCATCTGTTTCTCTGCATACTTTGTTAGCCCCCGTTTTACCCTGTTCTTCAGTGGTCAGGACCCCCATGGACCCTCACAGAGCAGATACTATTTGGGTGGTGGATCATTCTGAGCACTGCAGTAATACTGACGTGGTGGTGGTGTGTTAGTGTGTGTTGCGCTGGTACGAGTGGATCAGACACAGCAGTGCTGCTGGAGTTGTAGAACTACAAAGTGCACCTATATAGTAATTGGAGCTGATAAAATGGACAATGAGCGTAGAAACAAGGTGTACATATACATATTGTATATGACAAGGACGAAAACCAATCTGGCTATGATCTTCAGGCCCTCAGACAGCACTGCATTAAAAACAGACATGATTCTGTAGTGGAAATCACAGCATGGGCTCAGAAACACTTCCGAAAACCACTGTCTGAGAAAACAGTTCATCGCTGCATCCACAAATGCAAGTCAAAACTCTGCCATGAAGAGAAGAAATCATATATAAACAGGATTCAGAAATGCTGCTGCCTTCTCTGGGCCCAAGCTCATTTAAGATGCACTGAGGCAAAGTGGAAATGCGTTCTGTAGTCTGACAAATCAAAATTTGAAATTCTTTTTGGAAATTATGGACATTGCGTCCTCTGGGCTAAAGAGGAGAGGGACCACCCAGCTTGTTATCAGCCCATAGTTTTGAAGCCAGTGTGCATTAGTGCCCATGACATGGGTGACCTGCACATCTGTGAAGGCACCATTAATGCTGAACGATATATACAGGTTTTGGAGCAACATATGCTGCCATTCAGACAATGTCTTTTTTCAGGGAAGGCCTTGCTTATTTCACATCACATTCTGCATGTATTAGAATGGTGTTACTCTGAGCCAGAGTGTTGTTAAAAGAAGCTGTGATGCAACACAGTGGTAAGCATGCCCCTGTGCCTTTTGAAACTTTTTTGAAACATGTTGCTGACATAAAATTCAAATATATTTTTCAAATCAACAATAAAATTTGTCAGTTTCTACATTTGATGTTATATTACATGTTGTTTTTGTACTATTTCAATTAAATATAGGGTTTAAATGATTTGCACATCATTGCATTATGTTTTGTGTGTCCCAACGTTTTGGGAAATGGGGAAGATAGATAAATAGATGGATAGATGGATGGATGGATGGATGGATGGATGGATGCTGCCTATTGTCTGAACAGTGTACTTATGGATGATCATAATGAGCTCTCACATTGGACCAGACACTCATGTGGCCTTGCTTTGGTCCCCTTTCATCAAACAGCACAAGAGGGCAGCAGATTCTCCCAGATATTTTTCATTTTCCTTAATTTTTCCTTGAAATCACAGTTGGATAAAAAAAAATTGACATTTCCAGTCAAATAACCACGTATTCTTGATTTTCTTAGTGAAAATAAGTTAACACATGGTCTACAAAGAACACACTTAAATGTGGCATTTTTCTGCTAATTTTAATGCACAATTAAAAGTTTTAGGTGTTGGAAAAGATAAAACATAAAATATAAATTGTGCTAAAACTTTTGCACAGGTCACATTTGATGTTTTCTTTTATACCAAAATGTGAAATTCAGCAAATACAAACAGTAATTGCACATTAAATGCTCAGA